GTCTTCTTTTTGCACGTCTCGGCGTTTGCTCCCTGCCGCTCCGAGCGGGAGCGGGGCTGAGGGCTGGGAGGCTTCACCCTCGCGCGTTTTCCGCTGTTTGGCCGTTTGTTTGGTGTGGGCTCTGAGGGGTTTCATGTTCCCTCCGGTGGCCCCGCGTCGCAGCCGAGCCTGGCTGCAACTGCTGCTGCTTCCCGAGGCCACCTAAGGCACCTTGTTTCTCCTCCGGATTCCAGCAATAGCGTGTTTTCCGTTTTAACCATTTGCTGACCCTCCCTGGCCCCAGTTCTGGTATTCTCTCCCCAAGAATCACGAGGGTGATTCCCCAGAGACAGGACGAGAGGCAGTAGGCACAAACTGAGACACGGGGAGCTGTGTCTGAACCTGAGGAAAAAATCCTTTGCTCTGTGGGTGACTGAGCACTGAGAAGTTGTGGAGTCCTCATCCTTGGAGGTATTCAAAAGCTGCCTGGACAGCATCCTGGGCAGCCTCCTTTAGGAGACCCTGCTTGGGCAGAGGGGTTGGACTAGGTGCCTAGGCAGGGGGGGTTGGACTAAAGATGCCGTCTAACCTCAGCCGCTCTGTGACTCCGTGAGGGTGGGCTCTCCTCCTGCTTGCTGTTCCTTGCGCAGTCGTTGAGCGAGTCCTGGGCAAGGTCAGCACTGCGGATGGTCAAAGTGCATGTGGGTAAATAATGAAATGTGTTTGTAGGACCTCAATCTTGCTCTAGTCAGTTCAGCGCGCCGCTTCATGGCGCGTCAGGCATAGCTAATGGCAGATGTGGCAAAGCAACTTTGGTTTTTTGATGAGCCGTAAACAAAACACTGATCAGCTGACGTTGCAGACATAGCCACGGAGGTGAGTTGGAGGAAGTAGTAAAAATTCCATAACCGGAGAGGGAAATGTTCAGGTATGCATGTAGACTAGGCAGAAAGCAATATGTAAAAAAACAGAAAACCAGATCTTTATAAAACCGAAGTGTTCTGGAATGGTATGACTAGCATTCGTCACGTGTAGTCCTCAGAAGTGAGTGATGAATGAACTCACTTACTGTGGAGTGAATACTTAGGGAAAATCTTTTGCCCTCACTAGAGGGAATGAAAGGCGCCAGTGACAATTTGAAGTAGGATAACGCAACCTAAAGCATCCTGTGTGGCCACGGTATGGTGGTGGAGGTGCTAAAGGCCTACTCTCTAAACACATGATTTCTATCCCTTTGGGAACATCAAGGAGAGTGAGTGCCACCGTGGAATATTACAGAGAACAAGAAAAAGGAGTTCAATATGTCACTGTGATGCCCAGAAGCCTCAAAGGGGAATAAATGGTGAATATGAGTTGTCCTGCACCCACACTGGTACAAAAGAAAGCAGAACCCAACCCAGGTTCATTGTGTGCATGTAATTCTTCTGGAGGAACACGTGTTGAAACAGATCTACTCTTGTCCTACTCTTTGTTCAGATAGCACTTCTTGCATAAACAGCTGTTGCTACATCAGTCTATAGTAATTTATTGTTTTTCATGGTAAACAGGAACTGTCTAGCAGAGAAACAAAGGGCCTGGGATTTCATTAACCTGGCTTAAATTTCTGAATTGACCAAAACCTTTCTGATTTGTCTGTGCACTGGATGTGCAATGTATTCTTTTCCGGTAGTTTCCATATGGGAAATTCCTCATCTCTCACAAGGCAGCAAGTCTCAATCTCTTCGTTGCCCCTTCCTTACTACTTTCCCCACTTCTCGTGGGATATTCTGACCGGGGTCTTGTGGTTTTAACAGTAATGGTTAGCTGTGTACTGAGGATCTGCTTTATACAGGCTTTTCTGTAGCAGACAACTGGCTGAGGTCTGAGGTGTTGTCATCAGATCTGAACTTGTTTGTTACAGAGTTTACTCAAACGATTGGGAATCCTCAGCTTTTTTTTTTTTTTGTTCCTCCCTTTTTAATTTAACTTTCTTTATTTTTAGACTGTTGTTGTTTGGTAAAGTGCAGAAATATGAGGGCAGCTTAAAAAGGTGTCCCAGCTTTTGACAAGGCAGGATCTGGGCTTTGGTATGAAACTTTCATCCTGTGCCGTTTATTACCTCTTAACGCTCTAGTTGTTGATACAATGCTTTGTATGAATGCTGTTTCACTGAACAAAGTCGAAAGAGGAATAAGGGCAATTCACTTAGCTGTGGATGAAAAGTGGAGAGCAAGGCAAATCAGATGGAAGAAAAGCTTTCTTTTCCTTTTAGCAAATGATGTAAACCACTTGTGCCTAGCAGTATGCTTAGTTTGAGTGTTTGGACTTCAAATCTCCAAACACTTGAGTCTCTGGACTTCAAATGCTTCTATTACTATCTTTTCATAATGTAGGAAGAAGAATTTAAGTGGCTTTTACAAGAAGAGGTTCACGCTGTCTTGAAACAGTTGCAGGATATTTTGAAGGTAAGGGTAATTTGCTTGATTTATTTTTGTCTCGTGAGTTTGTTTGTCTTTGCTCTTGTACGTGAGGAATGGTGGTAGACTGGAGCAAAAATTCTTGGTTGAGAGAGCACAGAAGGGGCAGCAGGTCATTGTGCATGTCCAGTGCAGTCCTCGCTGTTTGCTTGCCCTCTGGTTCTTGGGACTCGGTTATAAAGTAGATTTCTCCTAGATTGCTCTGTTCTTGGCCCTCTTTGGTGAGAGAGCTGCTTTGGAAAGGCATGTGGAGGCTGCCAGACACGTCTGCCACGTGTTTGCCTGAGGTGTGAACATCTCTGGAAGAGAGAATCGGGAGCTTCCTAAACCCCTGTTGTGTGATGGTAGAAAGGAGCCTGATAACCTTTAGCTGACCGGGCAGCACTTGTACAGTGGTTAGCAGCATGTGCCCTCTTCATTCAGAGCCATCTTTTCCTTAATATATCCACTTCTCTGCGAGTACCTGCCCCTTTCAGAGTAATGAAATGCACAGTGAACTGTGATATGGGCCTGAGGCATCTGTAGCCAGCCCAGGTGTAGGCTGTCAGGTCCTGCTCTCTCTGTGCTGACACTGGCAACCATGCAGCCATATGTAGTGGTCAAAGAATAACATGCATGAGAATAAGGTGCGTTCTCCTGTTAGAGTAGTTTTCAACAGTCCTGTACCCCTAACCCTGGGAAGTTACAGTGGGAGTTAGCAGGTGATTCAAAAGCAGGCACACAAACGTGTAAGATGAGGGGTGGGTACCAAAGAATGTAGGAGTGCAGTAGCTCTGATTCAGAATGTGGCTCAGTAGTAGGTGAGGCTAATCTGTAGTATCTGTTTTGAAGAATTGGTCAGTTCTCGAGATGAAACGTGATTAAGAGGATAGTTGCCAGCTAGTATAGAAAATCAGACCCCCTGGCTGGTTATCTCGTGTATACAAGACCAATTGCTTTTGCGCTGTAGTTCCAGGCCAGTTGTTGCACTGCGAGCGGGGCAGGGCACCGGCAGCCTGAAGGCCACGTACGGACTGGGCTGTGTAAAGGGAATTTCCTGCTGTGCAAAGTTCAGTGCCCACACGCAAGCCGGAGGAATCGCTAACATCGTTGTCTGGTTGTAGGGGCCTGAGCTGCAACAGTGAATTTCCTGCTGCTTCCCTACATGTTTGTGAGGAAGCAAACGGAGCCTCCTACTGTGCTAAGCTTGCCCCAGATGAGAAGGAGGGGAGGTCTTTGTCCTGCTCTCCTTTTGCTGGGCAGATCTCCGGAGACTTGCAGAGATGACTGTGCTGTCTTAGACTGCTCACTAGCCTTTTTTCTTCTGATCCTGTGTGGTCTTTGTTCCGGGTCTGGAAACTCCAGCACTTACTATGTCCTCTCTGTCGGGCAGGAGGCTTCTCACAGGTTTGCGCTGCCGGTGAGTGGCTCGGAAGGAACGATCAAGCAGGAGAACTTTGTGCTGAGCACTTTGGGGTAAGTGGTTGCCCCTGTCAGTGGGTTGCTTCTGGTCTGCCAGCGCTCTTGGGTGGGGGGGGGGGGGGGGGGGGTGTTTGGCTTTTCTTGCCAGAGGTGAGCCACTGACGAGATGAGGGAGCGCTAGAAAGCTGGTTCTGCTATCCTCTACTCCACAAAATGCCTGTGACTGCCCTGGAAACTTCCTGTTATACCAAAGAAAACTATTACTTGAGCATCTTCACTGAAGGTCTCTATGGCTTTTCCAGAGCAGAGGGGTTTTCTTCAATACAAGATTTGACCTTTAAAAAACAAAGAGGAAAAACTCCTCCAAAAACAAAAGATCCAAACTCTCATGGAAGATTAACTTACAGGTTATTGCTGTGTTCCAGGGGCTGCCTTCAGCAGACCTGTGCAGTTTCCTACTGAAATCTATGATGCAGTCATTATTTCCTGACCATATGCTCATGTGTTGCATCGAGGCACCACTGTCAGTGCAGTTCTTGCCAAGGGGAATCGGACTAATTCCCCGGGCTGCTGGATTGAGTTAAAAGACCTGAATTCTGGCCTTGGCTCAGTTTCTGACTCTGACCTTCGACAAACCTTAACCTTTGTCTTAATCTGCTTAAACTGCAATGATTAATCTACTTGTTATAGAGCAAACTAACACCTGTGCAAAAGGTGCTGCTGAAGTGCAGTTCTTCTGAAGTTGCATCCAAAGTAGCTGTTCATTTTTCTGACCTTCAGTATAGGTCTCTGTCTGAAGAGGTGCACTCTGGCAGAGTTCGTAGGCTTGCTGCCAAATAGGGGAACTTAGTCCTTGGAAACAGCATGGGGAGCACTTAAGCAGGGGGCACTGATTCTTTCCACTTATATATGAAGCACGAAGCACTCCTGTGTCAGTAATCAATCCGTATCTTGTGTTTGCTCCTGTTGGAGCTGTTTTTAACAGCAACCAAATTGTTGATAGGTGATACATGCAATAAGCTGGGCTCAGAACAGAGCTTAATGTTGTAGGCAGGGCGGTTAGGTGGCTCATAAAGAATATGACAGCAGCTGTAAAAAGAAGCCAAGAACTGGGGATTTGAAAGTGTGTGCAGAGAAAGCGTGTTCTGTGACGGAACCTGAGACCCTCTCTGGAGAGTTCATCTGCATCCCCCAACCAAACTCCTGCCCAGTAATGGGGATGGTTTTTCTTCTGCTCCAGTGTTTTAACCTGGGAACTTGGCTGGCTGCACGGGGTGGGGAGGGGTGGTGTTGTGTTGACAGTTTCTGTCGGTGCCTCTTGCCTCCTGTGACCTCTGTTGCCCAGATCTTTCTTGTCATTCCAGCACAGACCAGGTGAAAGGTGTGTTAACGCTGCAGGGAGATGCCTTGTGTCAAGCAGTGAGTACTTGCCATGCCTCTTGCTTTGTACTAGCATCGAGGGATGAGGGAGTGCTCTTCCTTATTATGCTTATCCTTATTATTTAAGGTAGGCCTTAAATATTTAACGTTTCAGCAACTGTTGGAACTTGTCAAGATCCAACAGCTTGAGTCCGCCTTTCTGATGGTGATTAGCTTATCTTGGCTACTGCTCCCTAAGCTGCGCCAATGCCATGGATGCTTTTACGATAGCTGTGGTACTGGCTGACCTGTGCACTTGATGTGAGATGCCCCCAGCTTGAGTTGTTTGGATGAGGGCAGTCTGTGAGCTGCTGCCATGCTGCCTAGATTTAGGATTGCAGTGGCTGAATTCTGGACCTGGTAAAATTTCGTTGCAGAGCTGGTTTCTGTCTTTCCCTGTGCGTGCTGCTCTGCTGGGACATTGCCTTTCCTAGTTAGGGAGCAAGAGCTAGATAAGTCACAGTCCATAGTCCACCCTGTGTAAACCCCATCGACTTGCTCAATTTGCAAAAATTTTACCTCTTTGCCTGCAAGAAAGAACTGTCTCTGACTGCTGTATGTTGATATGATGATGACTGCTAGTGCTAATAATTCTAAAATCTCTATGGTGGGGGAGGAAGTGAACTTTTACAGGGATTCTTTGCCTATATTGCCTATATTGTGCAATGTCAGATTTCCTTTGGGGCCTTCTGAGTTGAGCTGGTGCGTTGTACCTGGGTCCCAGTTCACTAAATGCCTTTTCACTTGTCCTCTGTATTAACCTCTTGCTGGAAAAGGACTGAGGCTCTGGCTGTGCCAGGACTGCTTTCAGTAGCTTGCGAAGGCAATCTGTGAGACAGAATGGGGTGGGAATGGCAGATCCCGTGTTCTGTGTTTGGGGTGGCTTGCTCTCACGTTTGTTTCTTTCTTCAAGGACATTAATTTGAAAATGCCCAGAAATAATCAGCTCGTACACTTTGCATTTCGGGAGGACAAACAGTGGAAACTGCAGCAGGTACTGTTAGCTTTAGGTGACCGTCCTTGTGCAGAGTCTGTGCTTGCATGTGTAGCCCCTTACTGTCAGAGGGGGAAGGTGCTCTCCCTCCCACATTATCTAGCTCCAGTGGTGAAAAGTGAGGGAGAAAACAGATGAAAGTAAATTGGAGTTATGGTGCTAGTAGAGAGGCATTGGCAAGCTGAAGGCTTTCTTTGCAGTAGTCATAATACTTTAGGAGGAATGCCTAGGTGCCTGCACAGTACTGGCCTTTGTGACTGGTTGTAAAACCAAGGCTAGCAGGGCAAAGAGTAGCTCTGGGGCTTTGAGCTGGCTCAGTAACTTGCTTTCATTCTCTTATAGAAGCATTTCTTATTGCTGAGAGCAAATCTCACTGCCTTGTGCTCCTGTAGCTTAGCTGAATTCCTTCTGTTAAGGAGTGAAAAGAATGTGACTAGCCAGAACAATGACTCTCTTCCCATCTCTTTGCTGGGAGATGCCTGATTTCAGGGCATCCAGTGCCTGAACTTGAAGGCCTAGTTTCTCGTGGTTACTCTGCCATAGCTGGGCAGGTTGGAGAAAGATGTATTTTATGTACTTCACTATGCCATAGCTTGGATTTTTCCAGTGCAGGTCATCAGAGCACTTGGTTTTTGAGTGCAATTTGCAATGGCTCTATTAGCAGCAGAGTGAAAGCTCTTACCTGGTAAGCATGTGGGAAAACTAGAGAATTATCTACTCTAGATGCTAACATCAAATTGAACTGTGCCTTGTTTTTGACTTTCAACCAGTTAAGAGCAGAGCTGAATTGAGTTTGTTTATGCCTTGCAGCAAGGCAAGGGAGATTTTGTGATAATGCTCAGCAGTGAATCCTGTTTTGTACTCCTGCTCTGTGGATGGCCTTCTATCAGCTTTTGTGCAAAGTATCTTCCTTTATTTACTTGGAAGCATTTTGTATTTTAATGTCGTTTACATGTGGAATGTGCATGCCTAAAGACCTCTGTGTAGCAGCATTTACTTTGTCTTGTCTGGGTAAGAAGGAGCCTTTCAAAATGAAGCATTGCAAGTCTCGCTTTAGTGAGCGATGCCAGTTAGAGGAGTCTTGAGTTTCTGTGCAAAGAAAGTTAAAGTCATAGATAAGAAATTGTAGTGCAGGTGGGGAAAATTTTGAGGAACTAGATTAGAAAACAGAGCAAAATCAAGGAGGAATAGAAATGAAGAAGCGAGTCCTTGTAATGACAAGATTGGCATTGCTGAGTTTGGTATCATTGCCAGGTTCTATATAGTTTGCCCAAAAGCATTTGGGAGGTGCAAAGACTGGAGATGATGGTGTTGAGAGATGCCATACTGTGAGTACCTGCAGAGTTTCTGTGCAGCCTGTCAGTGGATTTTGTCATCTCTTTCCTTTCTGTAGCCTCCTGTGCCCTCTAAGGGTAGGGCTCTTCTGTGATTCCTGAGCTCAGAGTGAGAAAGAACTAGCGCTCCGATCCGTGCCAGCGAGGCCTCTACAAGGTTGAGCTGGGAACTGGCATTGGTTAGGAGGAGTATAAATGTATCAAACCGCAAATATCCCAAGCGGTGTTATCCATCTCCTAGGAGGCACTCTCGTATAGACTTGCCTGCTGCTCTTTCCATTTATTGCTCCCTGTGTCTTACCTCTTTATGCCTTTTTTCCCCCCCCCTCCAGTTTTGTTGCTCTTCCCTGGAGCTGGGTAACATAAGTCACCTTCTCCCAGGGCCGTTTCGTTCTTCCTCTGGTTCCCACAAAAGCATTGGGATGCACCCATAAATCTTGCATTGGTAATGGACTCCTAGCTTCAGGCTCTCCTGATTGAGAGGGACTCCTGCTAGCTGTGTCCCGAGTCTGGTCAAATTCTACGCAAGCTGTGCAATGGCAGCTTCTCAGGGCTTGTGGTAGTTCTCAACCCCTACAGTTATATTTTGAAGAGGCTCTGAAATGCTGCCAGAGACACTATGATAGAAATTAATGTTTTTTAGTCTTTGCTGCTATTAATATAACATATGTCATAAGAACTACCAGAGCTCAAACCGAAGGAAGAGATCCTTATTCATATTGCTAGACCTGACTGCCATATGCTGTCAGCAGTGAGAATCCGTAACCGAACAGTCACAATTGGAGCGCTCTCAGGATGGGAGTGCTTGGCATCTCTGTTCCTTCAGGGTAGCAGTGCTATTTTTATGGATAATCCAGGTTGTAGGTATGAGTGTTTATCTTCAGTCCTTCAGCAAAGAGAGCAATAATGAATCTGAACAGCAAGCGTCTGGTATTCAGAAGAAGATAGCCTTAACATCATTTGAGTAGTCACCATTTCCTTTGGGTTAAGGAGATGGTCAGGGCAACCTCTACTTTCTAGTATATATTGTAGTGAGCGCTTCTTTAATAGGTCTGTGTTTTGTACTTTTGCAGATCCAGGATGCTAGAAACCATGTTAACCAAGCAATTTACCTGCTTATGAATAGAGACGTAAACTACCAGTTCAAAACGGGCTCAGAGGTCCTCAAGGTGAGAAGAAAGTGCCCTCAAGTTGGGAAGGAACATGCCTATTTTCTTCCTCTTTTTTTTTTTTTTTTTTAAAAACACTGCAAGTGCATGTTACTATCTTGAGTCTCCATTGGAAATGTAACTGCCAGCCTAGGCATATGTACCTTTGTCAAGGAGTATCCAAGTTGCTTCATATTTGATATGAAACCATACCAGTATGGCATCAGAAACATGGCTGTAAATCACTGAGTGACTAGCTGAGCAGTTAGTGGCCTGTTGCACAATGGTGGTGTTCTGAGAGCATTTCCTCTGATCTTTCCTAGATGAAACTGTTATATAAGTCATGCTCTTGCCAGTTAGTCAGTGCATTTGGGAACAGAAGAAATGAGGCACTCATCAGCAAACAAGAGATTATGGTTACTGTTTATGATTTGCTGATGATTTGAAAGTGCCTTCTCACTTGCCAGTAATGGTGATGCTGTCTGGTGCAGACCAGCTGCTGTGTGGCAGAGAGCCCAGCCCTCTGCTTGGAAATGCTCACAGAGTTTGGATTCATTTATTAGAACTCGCCACAGTATTGAACGTAAGAAAGCTAAGCGTATTTAGTTTCCACACAGGCAAAGGCTGTCAACAAGAAGGAGATATGTAAGTAAAACTATTTCCTTTTTACTTTGGGTGGAAGGGAGGAGGGAGAAGTTGATCTTAACACAAAATGCCTTCATCTTAGCAGTCATGAGCTCTGTAACAGACATGTGTTGCTTCCCACTGCTTTCTGGAAAAGGAATTTTGCCTGACTAGAGTCTTTGGACTGTCGTGTTTTTGGCAGGATTGGGCCCACGATAAGCTGGTTCTTTTCTCCAGTACCCTAGCTCATAGGTGGTTATGAATATGGGGGCCCATTCTATAGTCATTTCCTCTGTGATGTGGGGAGGCGGAGAACTAGATTGCAAGTTGTTCTTTCTTCAATGCCTGCTGTTCAGAAGATCATTTGATGTATTTGTCAGTGCTTCTATGATGTCGTTAACTGCTTTCATCCTCTCTGCTCATTCATGTAATGAATGACTATTACCTCTATATTCACTGGTATTGAACAGTCCTGGCCTTTCTCGCAAACGTCTCTGGTGGTGGTAACAGTTTAACTGCACTTAGGAGTTCTTCTTTTTGAAACAAGAGGTCTCACTCCCTGCCCATCTGGTTCCTTGTGCAAAGGATGTGTAGACACAAAGACTTTGCTCTACTGTGATATAGAACTCTCTTGAATGCAAATACCCTCTCTCTGAGGAAAAATTTGAAGTAAAACAAACTTTGGTTGGGATTCAGAATGATAGAATATGACAGACTCCATGCTGGCACACTGTAGGAGCAGCCAGGAGCTCCTGAGGGGTGGTGTCTGCACTTCCGGTGACTTGTTGCCACAGAGGAACTTCTGGGAGAGAGAGAGAACCTCCAAGAGATGTCAGTGTAATGGATATGTTTTTGATGAGGAGATAAGGAATTACAACTAGTAGGACGTGCCCCTAGCTTACATGCACTGGTCAAGCAGATTGCAGGTCCAGCCAAACCATGGGTGAAGAGATCTTTGGTCTGCAGTGGCTCAGTATTTATATGGATCCTCCTTCACTTGGCTTGTTCTGGTTTTAATGTCTGTAAAAGGCGGTAGCACTCTGCAGCATGCCTATGTAGGGATCACCGCTCAGTAGTGTGCTTTACGTTATCTTATAGCTTATGGATGCTGTGATGTTACAGCTCACGAGAGCCCGGAATCGGCTGACCACTCCAGCCACTCTGACTCTCCCAGAGATTGCCTCCAGTGGTCTCACAGTAAGTATGTGGTGGTCTAGTTCTGCATACAACCTGGCAGCACCCAATTGCCGGGATATTGTGCTGCGTTCCAGTGGGATTGGGGTTTAGAAGTGCCCCTTTAGTGAGGCCAAAAGAGAGAAAGCAGTAGGTGAAAACCCTGAGCTCAGTGGCTTTTTTGGCTGCTTTATATCTCCCTATGGGAGAGCAGATGACTTGGGCATAAGGACTTCAGTTCTGAGAGAGGTTCTGGTCTCTGCCCAGAAAGCTTGCCTGGGCTCATTTGTCCTTGTGAGTGCTGATGAGAGAAATCAATGAGTGTTGCTCCATCCTCTTCTGTCACCAGCGCTCATACCTGCACCGTCTGATCAGGTGCAGCAAAAGGAACAGCCATTACATGCATGCTAATCTCCCTGCTTGGTCTCTTTGCTTTCCTAATGTCTCTCTCACTATGGGGTAACTTCAGTATCACTTAGAAAAAGGTAATGATTTCCTAGCTTTAGAAATAATGGTCCTCTCACTGATAAAGAAACTTACCTTCTCTCCAGAAAATGTTCAGCCCTGCTCTGCCTCCAGATATCCTTGTGAATTTCTATATTAACCTGAATAAGCTGTGCCTGACTGTCTACCAACTCCATGTGCTGCAGCCCAGCACAACCAAGGTGATGCCTACTATCTCTTCAGCCTCCTTTATTCACCTTTCCCTCCCCTCCTCCCTGAGGAAGAGATTGCACTGTTAGATAGTATACTGCTTATAAGCATAAGTTAATGCAGAAATGACTGTGGCTGCTCTTAAGTGCCTATATTTAGATCTACTGCAGCTGAAACGCTGTATCTAAATCTAGTTTGGTGCATGGCCGCTTAGTCAAGTAGGAAGTGTCAGTACTCTGGAGAAAGCCAGTAACTATATATTTTTTTGCCAAGTAATGCTTTATCTTGCAATATATATTGATGATTTCTCATAATTTTGGAAGGATGTAGTTGTATTAATCCAATTTCAATCAAAGTAGCGTCTTGGAGTCTGTCAATGGAGTTTTGATATTTACTCTTCTGCTTCACGTTTGTACATCAAGCATGTTACATAATGGGTCAGTTTAATTCTGTTTATAAGGGATGTCAAACTCTTTAAGGTTTATGAAATACAATCCCTCCTTAAGGATGTTTCTCCTAAAATCCATCTTCTGTTTTTCTTTTGGATCTTCAGATCAGTGTGAATTTACTTCTGTAGTGCTAAAATTTAGAGCTAAGTTAGACCCGGCCACTGTGTAGAATTTTCTTTCTGAAGAAGCAAGGAGTCAGATGTCATAGATTCCATGTGTTAATTAGTCTTAAGCAGGCAGGCATAATACAGGTGTTTCCTGATGTCAGACTAATGTAACTGTAATGTAACTGTTCTCTTTCTAAGTAGTTTATTGACTATGTCAAACTCCTAATGACCTTTGCCTTCTCCTTTAGAACTTCAAGCCTGCTGGAGGGTCTGTTCTGCACAATCCTGGAGCCATGTTGTAAGTACTGTCGCTACAAGGGCTGCGTAACATGCATAGGAGGATGCTGAGGATAAGATTGAAATGGCTGAGAGCAGCTTTGATAGGGCCCAAAGAGAGCATCTGTTAAGTGGAAAAGCAGGACTGAGCTACTTGCTGTGGATGTGTCTGTGAATGCATGTGTACCCATAACATCATTTCTTTAATGACTCGACCAGAGAGGCCCAGAGATACAGTTTTTCAGGATACAGGCCGCGCACAGACTGCGGTGAGGTTGGCAAGAGACTGAACTTGTCAGCCAAAAAGAGCATTAACCTGTTGTCATTGCCACCTGCGTTTCCTGCGTTGTTCCTCCCTGGAAAGCGGTAATGTTCCTACCTGAAGTTTGTTCAATTTTTGCTCAACTCTGAGTCTGATCAAAAGTAGACTGAGAGTTTTCGTTCTGTAACTTTGCCAGGTGTTGTTTTAAATGTAGTAGAAGTCATGGTGATCTCATGACGAAAGAGGAGAGTTAAGTTGTTGTGTGTGAAGCTGTGCTCTTATTTCTCCACAGTGAGTTTGGCAGCCAGAGGTATGAAGTCAGCCACGTTCATAAAGTGGAATGTGTTGTCCCGTGGTTGAATGATGCCCTTGTCTTCTTCACAGTTTCACTGCAGCTTTGCCAGCAGCTAAAGGACAAGGTAATGGCCTTAGAGAAGAGGTTTTGTTTTTAAAGGACTCCAGGTGTTAAGAGGACTTCAGAGCTCCTAACACCACATCAGATTTTTATTCAGTGTATATACATAAATTGCACAGAAAACAAGTGATGAATACATTCCAGTACTCTGGAGCCAAGCAGCTGGTTGGCACTGGCCAGCAGACAGCCCTCTGGGATAGATGTAGTAGCATGGCAGATGTGTTTGCCGACCTAGTGACTAGATGGAGAGGAGCATGTAGAAGCTTTTGTGTTCTCAGTCATTACCTGGATGTTAGGAAATGCCAGGGTCCTGGAGGAGAGGCATAGAGACCTGTTTAGTAAATCAAGTTGCGGTAGACCAAAGTTCAGTTCCAGCTTTGCAGCTGACCGGGTTGCCACCTTGAGCAAGTAACTGTGCTCCAAGCTCCAGGGATGACAGCAGCAAATCTGCCCTTCTGAAATGCAGTGCTGGGAAATGCTGTAAAGCTCAATCTTAGCATGCTCGTTATATGCTCTTTCTTCTATGGTCTGGAGGATCCAGGAACTTAACTGTTTCTCCTCTTGCTTTCCAGATCTCAGTTTTCTCCAGTTACTGGAACTACAGACCGTACTAGTTCTCTGTGGAGGGCCCCAAGCCCTTTCAGCACTACCACTGTCTCCCTATCTGTTTCCCGTGTGTCAGCGAAGTCCAGGTCAGCCGGAGGAGTGCTGTGGTTCACTGCCCTATGTCCCACCATAGGGTAGGTCCAGTGTTTCTGGAGACACACCTTCAGTGGCCTTGTTTGAGACTGCTGCATGAGCAGAACACCAAGCAGTGCTGTGTGGTTGGCAAGAGCTTCTGCCTGTCTGTCTTCACACATGGGAGTTGTGGTCAGTGCTTTGCAAGCCCCTGATGATCTACATTATTCTGTTGAGAGGGATGACGTAGGGCTGTGGACCACTCACTAACTGTATTTGTACATAGTGCAGTAACTAACTGCTGGGCTATGAGCTGGCTGGGAAGGGATGAAGACAGACTAATTTCAACCTTCATAAAATGTGCAGGGCATGCTGCTCCATGTAGTGAGATATGTTGTTGTGACTTGGTCCAGCTGAAGTTTTGACTAGGCCTAAGCTTCTCCCTTTCCTGTCTGTTCTGTCCCTGCCCAGGTTATTGATTCCCCTTTGGGGTTATTCTTACTTGCTGCTGTTTGAACTCTTTTTTTCCCTGGCAACAATGTGATCATCTATGTTAATATTTTTTTCCTAAGCCCTAGTTGGGCCACTTGTTTTTTTTCCAGGTTTAATATCTTGTTTTCACTGTCAGCGTGTGGAGCTGCCCCAGTACCTTGAGCAGAGCTGGGGTTCACACTCTCACATCCTGTCATTAAACCTAAAGTGAGTACCAAGTTGTTCCTATGATTTGCTGCCTATCTGTGGATGCTACAGTATGTAACTCATCCCTCTAGCCAGTGATAGCTGTGAAATAAAGATCCTCAGACCTGCCATGCTCCTGTGAGGTGTCAGTGCTGAGAATAAAGAGTGTCAAAGACTCTGTGGTCTTTTACAAGTGAATGGCTGTGCTTAGGTCTGATTTTGGGCATGCTGGATTACTGCTTGGGTAGGGTGAAGAGAAGAGAAGGGACTAATGGTCTCTGAGGGCAGAGCTTTGCAACTCTTCAAAGGACGGGGTTGGTTTGTGCAGCCTGAGCATATAGTTTGTAGGCCCCTACAAGACGTTGGGGCCTTCAGAGCCTGTCTTGACTGCATGCAGGCTCCTGGTATGTTCAAAGTACTATCCAAGGCTCTTTGCTCAAAACAGAGAGGTAGATATGTTGCTTTGATTTTGCTGCATAGATCTCTGCTCTGGACACACATGACCTATCTTGCCAGTGATCTCCCTTTCTGCCTTTTTGTGAGGCCCCTGAGGTCCTGACTGGGGTAGTGCCAGCCTTGTTACTGTTGCAGCCTCCTTGTCTGTGGACTTGACAGCTGGTGCTATGCTTAGTCCAAGGCATGCTTGTGTTGCAGGTTGCAGGCAGTAACAGTTCCTACAAATGAATATCAAGCTGATCAATAAATGCGTTCGTTAGTAGTGAAAGGTAGAGAGGCCTGGATGGGCTAATGCAATAGCAGACTTGGTAATGAGTCTGGCCAATTAGCCCTGTAACTGGCTGTGGTCGTGACCTTGTATATGCATTTAGCAGCCCCTGCTCTGTTCCTGACCTTTCTCTGCTTGGAGAGCAATTAGACATGTATGGAACTGTTCACCATTAACAACTTCTCAGATTAGAGTATTTGGATAGTTAATCACCTCTCTGCTGTGTTCTGGAGCTGTCTGAGCTTCTTTTTAACCCTGCTTGTGTGTGGGTGGAGGCTCCTCTTTGAATTCACACTAGTGTATCTAATCGGTATTGCTACATCCTCTCCAACCCATCTTCCTGCTGTCAAGGACGTAACGTGCAACCTAGTGTGTGTCGTTTCCTTCTGATGAAAATAGTTTCCTTCAGTTCTGGAGGGCAGGAGTGTGCAAGATGGAACAGCTGTCCTGATTCCTGCTCTGACTGATGTACAATGGCTGTGTTGTGAGAACTGTTCTGTGGCAATGAGAGCTGCTACATGACGTTGCCTTGGCTAATGTGATAGAAGAACAGGATAACAGCAGGGTAGGTAGGATTTGACCTAGAAGAAGAAGAGGCACTTAGCCCTGGCTGGTACCCAGTGATTTGAAAGGTAAAACAACTGTTCCCTGATTAAAAGATATAACAGGCTCTCTTCTTCCCACTTAGCCTCTGAGGGCAGAGGAAAAGGTCACAAGGTCCTAGGAGTTCTTTACTTTCCGAGCCCAGTGGGGTTAGTACTGGGGCCAGAGTATTGCTTATATCGCAGGTTGCAGGCAGTAACAGTTCCTACAAGTGAATATCAGGCTGACTCAGAAATGTGTTAGCAATGAAAGGTGAAAGGTAGAGAGGCCTGGATGGGCTAATGCAATAGCGTTGTTGGCACCAGTGAGTGGGTACTGGCAGCTCACCCCTCCCTTCATAAATTTTGACTCAAATGCGCTCTGGGCCACGAACTTTGGCAAGTGTTTAGCAACACAAGAGGTATGTGAGTGAAGGCTAGGCTATCTTCACTGTCTTCCAGACCATCTGCCTTGTCCTGGGCTGGGCTCTTACTCTTTTCTATGTAGCTCCCTCTTGGGAAGCTATAGCTTTCACGAGCAAAACTTCTCGTGGCACCCTTAGTTCTCCTTCTTGCCCAGGGAACCTCTGGCTCATCCTCAGTTTTTCTGAAGCGGGTAGAAATCTGCTGCTGGATCCTTTGGCTACCTGCCTTTATGAGGAATCTAGCGCTTGTTTCTGCTGCCGGGATGCTGCTAGTGCTGGAACCACAGAAGACACTGACCCGTAGGCCTCTGGTGGTCAACTTCTACATAGTCTCGGAAAAATAAACTAGATTTGATTGAACTAAGATGGTTTACACTTCTGTTGGGCAGCTTGCACGTGCGCACTGCAGCAAGCTAATGACGGAGCAGAACCATGGACTAAGAGCAATAAGAAAGTTTATTTTATGAGTGCCTCTAGCCTATCTCAGTCTGAGCAGCTATTCCTGCATTGTCCACGGATCCTGACAGAGAGCGAGCAGAATCCCATGCTATCCCTTCTATGAGTGCATGCAGGGATAGTTGTCCCAACATCAGCACAGAGCAGACAGGAATGTCTCCTTGCCGAGCTCAACTAAGGCTAAATGCTTTAAGATATAATCCTTTTTCTACTGGAGTTGGGGATGAAACTTGAAAGTATTTGTGTGTGCTGAGGCCGAACTACTCAGGTGTTACCACTGCCAGGACTTGCTTGGAATGGTACCTAACACCCATCACCTCATCCTGTCTTCCAGCTATGGTGAAAACATGGTTTGACATTACAGAAGACTATTGTAAGGGGCAGCTGACAAGGAAGGGCATGTACCGTGGCTCTCACTCACAAGTAGGTACCTGGCTGTGTTTCTGAGTGCCTTCTGCTGGAATCAAGGCTCTCGGGACAGAAGTGGGCCTTTCTTGCTCTGTACATACCCTACCCCAAAGGGGGTGCAGAGTATCACCCTAAAGCAGGGACTACACCAGTTTGAATCTGGCTCCACCCAGGACTGTAAGGAGGCTGGGTAGGGGGGCGATGCTTTTCAAGTGGGAGGCATTGCTAATCTTCGGGATAAAGAGCAAGCTTTCTCTTTGGTGCTCTAGGCATCCTCTGCAAAGACCAGAGGGAAGAGGGTGCTGCTGTTCCCTGGCGCAGAGCAGTTTCATCTCCGCAGACTTATGTGTCCCCTGGGCAGGGTGAGGCAAACCTGTTTCTAAAGTTGGTGCAGCAGATAAGGGAAACTGGCTCCCTGACACGCTCCAAATATCTCTACAGGAACTAAAAGTTCCTAGAAGCTGTGGTTATACTTTATTCCTTTATTGGATGTTCACAGCCAGGGACAGTGTTACACTTTGCGTTTAGTCCTGCTGGAAATTAAACCTGTAATGGAAGGACTGGATCAAAAGACCCTGAAAAGCAACATACCTTGGCCTCTCGTTCTTCCATCCTGGAAGAGTTCTTAACATGAGGATGCCCCACAACATGTTTTAGTTATCTGTGGGTGCGAGCCTGGAAAAGGCTCTGCTCTGGGTGGGGTGGCTGAGGATGATCTGTGGTTTGTAGCAGAAAAGTCTGCCTTAGTGTATTGTTTCTTGTGGGGGTTATGGAGTGGCTTGACCCAAGTGAACCTATTAGTTTGGGCTGGCATTGTGTGTTCTGTGCAGGGAGGTTCACATTTGTCTTCATGCAGAGAAGAGGAAGAGCAACTGCTGAAGTTGCAGAGGAGATCTGGAGGCAGATGGACAGCTCTTGGCACTCAAGGTGAAGGTAGAGTCTGATTTGGAGGCACAGCAGAGGGAGGCTAGTAGGAAGCGTCATTCTGTCTGCTGACCCTGGGCTCTGTCCAGCCATGAGGCAGAGGTGGGTTTAGGACTCCATTACCAGGTTGTCTATGCCCACTTTCCTTCTGGGAACCTGGTGGTTTTGAAAAGGGATGTGCCATTGTAAAGAGGAGGGGAAGGATTTTGCACAGGGGTGAACACACGGGTAAAAATCGTCTCTGCGCTCTGTCCACACTCAAGCTGAAGTACCCCTTCCCTTCCCCAGAACAGTGCCAAGGGCCTGGGCATGTTTGTACCTGCTGAGGCACTTCCAGACCCTTCCCCATCACTTTCCCTGTGTGAGTATACCCTCTTGAGGGCTGGGTCATGTTTCTCCTGGGGCAGGAGTGGCCCTTTCCACAAGGGAGAGCAGGATGGAGCCAGGGCTCCCCCCCCCCCGCCCAAGTCCTTCCATGGGCAGGCAATCGGGCAATGCAGCTACTGCAGAGTGGCCCTCAACTTGGGAGCTCCACCCATTCTTGGGTAACGAGGGATGGCCTGCAGGTAGCAGGGCAGTGGCACAGCCTGGTCCTTTTTGTACTTTGCTGTGTTTTGAGCATGCTGCCATTCAGACTCAGTAGAGTATTTTCCAACCTACCCCACAGGCATGCCCAGGCCTGCTTTGCTCTTGAGACCAGGAAAGATGGTGCGGTTGTGGCTGTGGACACCTAATATATATTCCAAGTCCCTGAGGGCAGAGGGGCTTTGGGGCATACACAGCTCTGCACTCTGCTCCAAGGCATTGATGCTGCTGGCCCAGGATGATAGGGTGGGAGGGAATGTAGCGGTGAGCAGGTTGGATTTTATCACCTTGCGTTGGTTTGGAGAGTCACAGTCACAGCAGCAGCAGGAGCACAATCCCTGCGCCCAGGGCAGAGCTAGTTCCCTGGGGCATCCTGGCCCCTGCCTTGGCCCCGAACAGCACATAGCACTGGGCTGGGAAGCTAGACTGCTCTCTGAACCACAGGGCTTTCTTGGTGCGGGGAAGAAAGCCTTCCTCTGAGGGCTTCTGCAGCTGAGCGTCTCCCAGGGTGCTGGTGGCTCTTGGGGCTCTGCTTCCCAGTGTGCTAGTGCCAGCCCTGTGCAGAGGTGGATCCTCAACCCTCCCACCCTCTCCTGGGATGAGCAAAGGCTACAGGGCCTGATGGCCCAGCCTAGCTTGTGATGGAGGCCTCCTGGCTCAGGCCTGTGGTGGCACCACAGTGGGCACCTGTGCCTGACCCCTCCGACCCTGCCACTGTGGCACAGGCGGGAGCTGCCTGTGGGTGAGCTCAGGGCCCAGTGAGGGGATGATGGAAACAGAGTGGCCACGTGGCACGTGCCTTTGCCATGTGGCTGCGGTCCCCTTTGGTGCCTCAGTGTGAGGAACAAGCAAGCTTTGGGGCCATGCCAGGCCTGTGGAGTTGTGGCCCAGACAGCAGCTGCGGGTGGCCCCAGGGCCTGAACCCAGGCTGCCAGAAGATTTTAACACCACTGACTGCAGGGTCTTGTGATGATCTGGGATTGTTTCTGCCCTGGCAGAAAGTGGGAAAGGTTGGGAAGTTGATGTGACCAGGAGAGGCCACCAGCCTGCTCCCCGGGTGTGGGAGCAGTCCCAGTCCACTCTGGCTGAGCTGGGATCTGGCCCCTTTGGCTCTGCCTGGCTGCCAGCTGTTCCTGCCTCAGTTTCCCCTGCTCAGACTGCAGGATTGGAAGAGCTGAGATGCAACAGACCTACAATGTCCACAGAGCAAAGCAGAAAGCAGTCTGTAGGGCAGGGGTGCACAGTGTGAAGCACATGCTCCTTGTCTTGCTGGCTGCCAAACAGCCTGCCCGTGGAGGTACTGAGGACATCTCAGCACTGGTCTCACTCAATTTCCCTTTCTCTGTTTGCATCCTATTTGTTTTCCCCTTCTCTTGTCAAGTGTCACCCCTACATAAGGGGGCCATAGCTGCACTTATGTTCTCCTGGGTTACATCCAAGTCGTCTTCTGTTGGCAGGAAGGGGCTGAGCTATGACAAATCCAGCTGAAATTGCTTTCCTCTCTTCTGTTCGCTGCTGAGTTTGGTGTTTCAGATGAGCGTGCCTTGCTGTTATGATGACAAAAATGTCCTTTAGCCACACATCCTCCTCCTCTTGACAACTGTGGGGTCTACGTAACCTTGTCCTGGGTCTGAGCCCTGTGCAAGGGCCTCCAGCCCTGGGAGCCAGCTGAGGGAAGGGGCACTGGCCGCAGAGCTCTCCTTTTCCCCAGCCTGGCATGCAAGGTGCCAGCTCCCCCTCGCAGCCAGGCTCCCCAGGAAATCTGCCTTTTGGAGTGCCCTTTATCTGCAAGCTGGCAAGGATTTATTGGCGCAGGTTGGGGTGGGGGGGGACAGGGGCCTCCCACAACCACCTAGCCCGCGTGGGTAGGCATTCCCATTCCTGGGTCTGCATTCGTGGCAGGGATGTGGATGGGATGGCCCCTGGGACCACCTGGGGAAGCCTCATGGGTCTGGGTCAGGGCCTGGGGAAGGAGAGAGTGGAGGTGGTGTGTGGGTGGCACAGCACTGCCACCAAAGGTTGCAGGTGGCCCTTCTCCTGGTGTTGGGGCACTGGCTACCCGCTGGCCCCAGGGCACTCGGCTCCCTGACGAGCCCACTCTAGAGAGACCGTGGAGGATTTGGGCTGCTAAAGGAGGAAGCTATTTAGCTTACCTTGTTGCCTGAGAGACCCCTCCTGTTTCCCAAACCAGAAAGTGATGAGGCGGATGGGGAGCAGTAAGAAAACATGTTGAGAAGGGTCAACCCAGTGTGGAGGTTTGAGTGTCCTTGCACATGCCATTACTGCTCTCGTCATCCCCTCTGTGGTGCCCGAAGTCACCTGACTGGGACCTGCTCATAGCCCCTTTGCTTGAAACCTTGGCCGCGGTGTGCTCTGTGACTTCAAAAATGCCCCTTCAGAGCCTAAGTGCCCAAGAGCAGTCCCTGAGAGCGCTGAGCAGGGGGAGCTGGGGACAGGCAAAAAAAGGCAGCAGGTCAGGACTTGCTCCCTGCAGCTCACGGGTGCAGAGTGAATGATTGCTGCCACACTTCACCTCTGTAATCCTCGAGCCCAGCACAGCAGGGACCGGTGCGACATATCCGGCAGCACAAGAATGGATTGCAATTAGCAGCGTCATAAGAGGAAATATTCGTCAGCCTGGGCACACGAGCAGGGGGAGAGCTCTGAGCTGGGCTGCAGAGACTGCGGCCGTCTCTTCACACCTTGAGGGAAAGCGATTGCAGCTCCAACAAGCCCTGCTGACAGCCGCTTTCCGTCCCAGCCTTGCTTAGCTGGCGCAGGGGCTGTAGACCTTGGTCTCTGAGAGCAGGTTGGCGGGGGGAGGACTCCTCACCCTCTGTCCACAGCTCCAGGTGCCGTCGTCCGGGCGGGCTTGTTGGTGCTGCCCACGAGGATGGGGTTGGCATGGGGGCCAATGGGGGCTAGCGGGTAGGGAGCCTGGTGGGGAGCAACCAGGTGATGCTGGTGCATCAGGAGGTCACGTTTTTCTCTGTGAGCTGGTGTGAGCAGGGGCCTGGCTGGTACCACCTCCTTCCGTGCGACAAGCCCAGCCATCCCAAAGGCGTGCAGAGGCGTGGGGTTGCTCTCTGCTGCTTTCTCCACCTGCCTCCACCAAATGCAGTGACTTTTGAACCCCACCTTGCCATGGGGGTGATGTTTGCCCTGTGTTGCTAACAGGTTTTCCGTTTCTGGGGTCTCCACCACACCAGGGGTGAGGTACCCATGCAGAGATCTTCTCTGGGCCCTGGCCCTCTGCTTTCCTAGCAGTCCTAAAGCAGCTCCCATGGAAAGGCCGTGTCTAGTGCATGTTTCGATTATGAGAGGCATAACATGGCTAGTCAGCCCAGCCTTGCCTGGTGGGTTCATGTTAGAGGCCCTGCTTCAGCTGGTCAGCCTGCTCAGTCCCTTGTCCGTTCCCCTGTGGGTCAAGAGAGCAGCACCCACGGGAACTGTTATAATTTATTTTCTCCTCTCTTGACAATGTTTGCTGCCTTTACTCCATGCCATTTCTCATTAAAAGGCGCAAAACCAAGTTTGAAATTCAGACTATGGAGCTTAACTGCCCTGAGGCTATAAAAATATATTCCTTATAAAGATCTTGTGCATGTTACTGACAAGTACAGTAGTCCTGAGGGGATGCTGCTCACAGACAGGAAAATCTAATACCGAGAAGCGCTTTTCATTTTGCACAACAAAAAAACATGCAGCAAATTTTTTTGCCAGGGCGAGCTATTCAGATGGAGCAGGGATGGGGCTGGACAAGTCGCATGACTCAAAGATGTGGGTTTAGATCCAAGTTCAGCAGTCCTCAGATCTTGCAAGTTCTGCTGAAGATTTGACTCCAGTTCACAAGGGCTAGTGGCGACTGTCATACCCTTAGTTAACGGAGTCAAAAAGGCTTTCAGCTCAGGTTGTCAGATGTGCTGCTGTCTCAGGAAGGCAGCATGGGATCAGAAGCTGAGTTTGGGCTCAGAACAGCCCTGCCAACAGCTCCGTGGAGGTGCGAGCAGGACAATGCCTCCCTGTCTGGAGGCAACGTGGGCCAGTCTGGTGTGGAGGAGAAGAGGCATACTGGTTCTCTCCCTGCTTGCCACAGAGCAGAGTGCTGGCAGTCCTGCTGGCGGGGGACCTTCTCCCAAAGTGCCTGGGACAGAGTCTGCCCTATCCTCATGGAAAGCCCTGTTGCTTGTGGGGTGAGATAGGGTTTTTCTCATATGCCCCAGGCATGACAACACTTGCGTTATTTGATGTGACAGCAGATGAGCTGATGTGACAGTCAGGTTTTTGCTCCGTGGGGTCACAACTGAGTGGTGTTTCATGCCTATCTGATCCTATCTTCCTGATCCTGATCAGCAGGAGGGAAGAGATGGCACAGATGTCCCTGCACAGATGTGCTGGGCTACAGAGAACCTCCTGCTTCTGAAGGTGACTTGGCAGCTTCTATTCCGGGTATCAAGGTGTTTGCTGTAGCAGAGCTGCCCTGCTATTCCTTTTAGTGTCCCCTATTTTCAGAGCCCCAAGTCTCATTCCTGGGATGAAGTGATAGACAGGTAAACCTTGGTGTGATGCTTATTTCCAGGAGATCATCCCTGACTGCTGCTTGTAGAGCGGTCAGTGGATGGAGGCATTGTGGTAGGGCTGTGAACAAAGATGCAGGTGGGTTCCTGGGAACGGAAGCTGGGAAGGGGCCAGTACACAGTCCTCTCAGAGAGCATCGGCAGTGGTCCTATGTTGAGGTCCTGTTGAAATCGGAAGGAGGGCGGTGTGGGGCTGACATGTGCATTGGTTTTGTTCCTCTAAACACTTAATCCTGGCACTATACAGAAATTGGTAGGAGCTCAGCCTGGATAGTGCTGAGCCCAGTGCTGCACTGCATCCTCGATCTGTGGCATAGTCATGAGGGAGTTACTGGCATTTGGCAGGGGGCAGATATCGTGCTGAGTCCTCAAAAGCTTTGGCAGTCTTCTAGGGTCTTCCTGTGTCTGGAGAGGGTTGAAAAAGAGGGAGATGCACCAGCCCACAAGTAGCCATGGACAAATACTCCTTTCCCTCAGCCAAGGCCTGTGGTGAGGACATGGGGATAGGAATGCTTCAAACCCAGATGCCCAGCACCTTTCCTGAGTGAGGGGCTCACTCAGTGTGCCTCGTTGGTTGGTCCTGGCAATGTACTCCCAGATGGACACTCACTGTGGCAGCCATGGCCTCTGCTGCAGGTCCCTCAACTGCACTGTTCCCGAAATGTGATGGGCCATCATCACCTAGAGACATCCACTTGCTCCCCAGATTTGTACAACAGGAGGGAATAACCTGCTGGTTGGCCTTGGCTGCATAGTGAGAATGGAGTTTGCTTGGCCTCCCCCTGCCTCCCATTTGCTCTGGAGAGATCTTTTCCCCTGGGAAATTATTGGCACAAGCAAGAGGCTTTGCCTGTGCTGCTCTTGCTGGAGGGAACTTTGCTGCATGTCCCTGGGGTTGCAGAGACCCCTGTCCTTACTGCAGGCTGGGGCTGGGCTGCTGAGCACACCGTCACTATGGCTGAAGGAGGGAGGATGGGGGGTCCAGCTGAAGTTGGTGCTTCATGTCTGGGGTAAGATTTGCGAGGAAATTTTGTCCTATCTGGGACAAGGAAAACGTCTGCCGCGTCAATAAAGCTCTTGCTGCACAGAGCAACCATTTCACACAAGCTCTCATGGATAAGTGTGTGTTGCATAGTTGTGAAAAGTTCCCTTTCTCTGTCCAAGATGTGTACAGGTGCATATGGACTGTGTGCTTCAGCCATTCATTACGTATGTGCCTCACCCTAGGACTACATAGGTGCATAGGAGAACATAGATGCCCATGCAGCATATTTGAGTTGGGAGACAGACTGGGCTCTGTTTGCTGTTAATCTTTCCAGAAGGTAGAATTGCTTGTCCTGAGTGTTGTGAACCGCAGGACGTACAATGTGTCCCTGCTTCTCTCTCCTACAGTGTAATTACAGCCAAATTCCACCACCGTTCCAATCACGGTGTCAGAAGAGAAGTGTTTTTACAGTCAGCTCAGGCAAATGAGTGTTTTATCTCTCAGCTTCTTATCAGCAGGGTCTGTAATTCACCTGGAACATATTCCTGTGTGCTGATTCACTGCCAGTGACGGGAACACATTTGTGTCTCCTTGTCGGGCTGCTGTTTGTAAGAGCTGGGATGAGGGGCAGCAGCAGCAGAAGAGATGGTGGCTAGATAAATTAATCTACATAGCTGGCCGGAGGGCTGAGTGGGTTGACAAGCAGAGGGAGAGATAGATGGGAAGGTTGAAAGCTTGACTGGATGAGAGGCAAAATGATGTAATTATTTGCTGAGTGGCTAGATAGGTGCAAATGGACATAAGCAAGAACTAGGTTAAGCAGCTGGTAAAAATGGAAGGATTGTGGCTCACATACACCTGGCTGCTAAAATGATTTGTAATTCAAGAGGAAACATGAACTGCAAAACACTGGGCCCAGAGTGGGAGGTGCTCCATGGCTTTCGGACACCAAGATCACTCAACATCTTGCTGGATCTCCCCGTTGGATCTCACCAAGGCTGTGGTGAGAGCAGGGAAGCTGATGGCCCTGCTAGGCACATCTGCAGCACGAGAGGACAAATGGGGGTTGTGGGAGAGCCATGCTATGCATGCATCCCCTGCAAGCCTGGCATGATGGAGCCTGGCTATGGTGGGATCCCGCAGGTCCTGCAAACCTCAGGCACAACTCTGGAGGCACTGACATCCTGCGTGGTTCCTCCTGCTCCTCTCGTGAGCAGAGCTGTGTGGGCAAGATGAGCCTCCAAGCTGACTGGGAGGACGATGCTCATTTTTCTCTCCCCTTGCTGCCGACCTGCTGCTAGCCAGTCTCCTCGCATCACCCTTGTGTCATCCTTCTTCCCTGTTAAACTTTGGGAAAGGGACTTTGTCTTGCTGGGCACTCCCAGGAGAGTGGGCTGTATTTTCAGTAGCTGTGATTGCTGGGCATAATGAAGTGCAAGACAAGTGAGAGCAATTTCTCCTTTCTTAATTAGTTCCCCAGGCTCTGTGCACTCGATGATGCAGCTCAGCTTATCAGCATGATGAGCCCTGTGCTGGATTCAGAGATCTGGGGCTCTGATCCCACATAGGGAGGCAGGCCACAGGAGAAGGAGACAGGGAGGGAATGTGAGCAGTGTGCTGGCTTTGAGAAGGCCTGGGGGAAGTCTCACTCACAACCGTGGATGAGAGGCCAGGGGAGCCACTCACTCTCAGGGGATCTGCCAGGCAGAGGGTGTTTCTAGCCCTAAGCTCCAGAGACCCTGGGTGGTCAGACAGTGGGCCCTGCTCTTCTGCAGACTGCATTACACCAGCTCCTGCAGGTCCCATCACTGGGGCTGACCTTGAGCTTTTCTCTTAGCCTTTGACCTGAGTGTGAACATTTCCTCTGTTGGAGTAGAAGATTTGCTGCCAATCAATTCTTATGACTAGAATCCTGCCTGGTAAAAGACATGCACTCCTCGGCTCTGGTCTGAGTGTGTCCAGTGTGTTCCAACTAGTCCATTTCTAGATGGGTCTGAGACCCCAGGCTGGAAATGGGGCTTCTCTGCCTAGCATAATGAGGTGATATTCAGCAAGGCTGAAATGCCAAAGGCTTGCCTTTTCCCAGCCTACCAAGCAAGCTGGTTGATGAAGGCTCTCACCTCACTAGCAGTACTCACTCAGCAATGATCCTCCATTTCTAGCTACCGTCTGTGGCACAGTCATTTTAACAGAGTTTTGACCCACTTAGTGTGCATTATTCTGATTGTATATTGTTCTGGTGTGTTAATCAAGCATTCAGGGATGGTCTGGTAGACAGTGCCAATCAAGTGATGTTATAGAAAATAGCTCTCATCAAAGTCACTTGATATTTTTCAATGCAACTGGATATTTGATGCAAGAAGACATCTGTAAAAGCTCTGTCCTGCCATCATGTGACATATTAATTAATGAACTCTACTTCAGCTTTCCCATTATTTTCCTGAGGTGACTTCAAATTGACAGCTGTATAGTTACCTGTGTTGTCCTGTTTCCTTTTGCGAATCTCTATGCCAGTCTTTAGAGCTTCCCAAGAACTTGAGGGGTTACTGAAAGCCAGTATTAGCTGGCCTGGGAGTGCCTTGGTAACTTTGATGCAAGATTTCTGGGTCTGCTGATTTAAATCTGTCTGTTTCTGGGGTTTCTATTTATTGCCATCTTTCATTACTGCTGGAGAGTATTTCAGTACACTGGGATATGAACACAGTACTTGCAGTTGCCAAGAGGGAACAGAAGTATTCATTAACTCTTCTGTCCTGTCTACACTTGCATTGCAGCTCCCTGAGGTACTTCTGCTGGTTATAGAAATCTCCTTCCTTCCCTTACCAGTAATTTTCTGTGCTTCCTAGCGTCTAGCTTGTAAGTTATATTCATTGCCTTTACTTTTTCCTTTTGTTATTTATTATATATTGGTTGGGAAGAGGTTCTTTCTTAACTGCTTTCATTTTTGCTCCTATGCATGACTTGTTTTTATATCTCTAACTACATTTAACTTTTTTCCTGCTGGATTGTAAAAAAAATATCCTCAGCTCACGGGTCCATCAGCCAGCACAATTGCCAGATATTCTACGACTCTTGATCTGTCAAGCTGAAGTGCGATATATAGTTTTCTCATGGTGCATCCAGTGCTTCAAGTTAGGAAACTGTCTTTACTGGCTCTTAGAAAATTCAGGGACGTTTGACTGCTGGCAGGAAGAGCACGTTAGTGTCACCTCTCCGGGTAGAAATTTCCTGTGATGCAGCAGCTGTTTTGTGTGTTGGCAAGATGGGGAGATTTCTAGTTGCATTTATTAAAAACTACTCAAGACTCTTCTGTTCACTCTGCTTTGAGTTAATCTGAGGAAAAGACATCTCAGAAGACATGCTTCTGCCAGCAAAGTCCCTCCCATGCAAGTGGAGATGAGATGCTGGAGAGCTGCAACATCACCCCTGTTTTCTCCTGGGATAAGTGATAGCCCTGAGAGCTGCTCCTGGGTGTTTTTAGCGTTCATTGTCCCTGGGACTGGGTGAGGACCAGATGCTGAGCAGTCTCTTTCCAGTCTTGCTTGCAGAAGCCCTCCCTGCATGTTGATTTGCTTGTTCCCAAGCTGGCACACCAGCACCGGGTGTCCACCCATGTCCTCATCCTAGATTCCTACGAGGCTCTCAGCAAGCACCAGCTGCCAGGTCCTGGGTGCATTAATGGGCTGTGGTTGCCCTGGCCAGCCTCACCTAGGCCTCCTACAGGCCCAGTGCTCAGGTTCTCCATTTAAGGTCAGCCTGGGCCCTCAAACCTGGATACCCTTCTGCAGTTTGCAGAAAGGTCAAAGCACTGACAGGCAATGATGAGCTGCAGGAGATGCAGTGGGAGAGTCTTCAGCCCGGTCTGCTCTGAGGGCAGGGGTTTGTGCTTATGTATTCCTGTGCTGCATATTCTCCTCAGATTCTGCTGCTCTAATCTATGAGGTCTCTCCATCATTGTCAAGTGTCTTCCATTTCTGGTTTTTGGACAAGAGCAATTGATGAGAAAATGTGGCTTAAGCACAGGATGAAGTAATTTTATTAAAGAAGAATACTCCCTAATGGAAAGTATTTCACGTGTATCAAAGCTCTTGGCGTAAATTGATTATAATGCATCAGTCTGTCAGATGGCACTAAACAATTCGCATTTAAATGTCCCTTGAAACATGCACCTTCCTCTGGGAGGGTCTGATCCAGAATCCAGCACAGCAAAATGGAAACTATGTCATGGACTTCACCTGGATCCTTTTATTGATGCAGTAGCACAAGCTGATCTGAACTTTCAGGTAGCCGCAGTCCCGAAAAAATGGATATCAGGGTTGTAGGGCTGAGAAAGCTGTTTGGACTCAGCCTTGCAGGGATAGTTGTGACTGCAGGCCCCAGGATGAGCCCTGAGCTTAACCATTGCCGATTTCCCAAGAAGTGGCACATCCCACATTAAGCTGTGGCTACCGTGGGGAAGAAGAGTGTGTGTGGGTTGATGACGTTCACCCTTTGAGGCTCTTGGCTCCTTCTGCGCAGAATCCCAGGCAGTGGCAGAAGAAATGGGAAAGATGAGACCCAGCCCTCACAAGATTGTCTTGATGTTACTGGAGACAAAGTTAAAACCAGTGACTGAAGATTTCAGTGAGCTGCAGAGCAGGGCACCAAGCAGGTTGTCCTGCAGGCAAGGAACTGGGAAGCAGGTGTTGTAGTGCACTGGCAATGCAGGAGCCATGGCAGGGGTGCTGACCATGGGGAGGGAGAGAGGAGGCTGGGCTGAGCAAGGTGCATCAGGGACAAAGATTTGCGACTCCAGCTCTGGCAGGAGTCTGCAGTTCTCTCCCCTGCAGCTGGCTGCCCTGGGAGCCGTGAATCCTCATGTTGGTCTCTCAGCCTCCTAATCTCTCAGTGCCAGGACTTGGCTTGCTCCAATGCCTTTGGACTGGCTCAGGGAGCTGCTGGCTGCAGTTCTTCTGGCAGTAACGTCATGCCACAGTCACCCATGTGTGCTTATGGGCCTCCTGGGAGATAGGAAAAGGAACATGTAAGGAGGGATGCCAGGACCCTGGGATGCCAATGGGCCAGGGGCATTTATCTGCAAACACTGATGCAGGGAGCCTTCCCTTTTCCCATGTGCCTGGTGCTGCCCCAGTCTGGTTTATAAAACAGAATAATTGCAGTTGTGAAGTGCCTCCCTTTGTAACAGTGGCAAGGTCCAATGACAAGAAGCAGAGTCCTATCCTCCCCATTGGTGTGTGGCAGGGCCAGCTCCCCAGCAGCAGAGCAAGGGTCCTGGCTGTTGCCTCCAGGTGCAAGCAGCCCCTAGGCACTGCACCCAGCAGATCTCCCACTCCAGACCCCTCTCTGGAGGAGGCCAGCCCCTGGAAAGTGGGGTTCTCCCCCTCTCTGGAGGCCTGGATAGCAGGCGTGGGAATTGGGGAGAGGACAAACTGGTCCTCAAATAGGCTGGGAGGTGGGAGTCAGTTTGCAAGTAACGTAAAATCAGCTCTGCCAGAGCATGGTTTCCTGCTAAACCTAGGCAGTTCCTCGATGTGCTTGGCTGCACAGTTGTTACAGACATTTAATGAACAGTGATTCTTCCAGAGCCTTTCGCTTCTTTTTTGACTTGAAGAATTTTCCTCTGCTGAGGAGAATATTAGCTCTTTTCCACTGTTCTCTAGCCTTTAATGCCTGTCTTGTGCTATGCCACAGACGCCTCAGAGACTGCTGCTATCTCAGTGCGCCCATGGGGCAGTAATTCCTGCTTTGCAGCCACTGCAGCCCCTCTGTCCATCCATCCAAGAGGGAAGCTGGTAGCAGACTCTCTTGAGTGGATTTTTGCATCTGTTCACAGGTCCCCTCTAAGCCTGGTGTTGTGTTCCTTCGCCTTGGTTCATGACTTGGTGATCTGGGAACAGTCTATTTCCACTGACCCTTTCTGTCTACGTGGGAAGAAAAGATATGACTTTAACACAGGACTGCATGGCAGTCATGTGAGCCCTGAAGCTAAACTCAACTCATCCACTGAGTATAGTTTTGTAAAGAAATTGCATGTCTATCCAGAGATGTCTCAAACAGAATGACAACCTGGTAACCTCCCAGCAGAACTTCTTTTCCCATTGACTGATGCCTTATTCATCCAACTGCAGTTACTGCCCTCTGAAAGTTGAATGACCTCGGTCAGCAGGGAGGGATGGACTTGGTGTAAGAGCAGATGGAGCCACTTATTTCTGCCTGGATTGGTACTCACTACTCTGAAGGCATCTGGAAGTGTAGTGACTCCTGTTCTAAAGCATAGATTGGAGTATATTAATGCCAGTTTATGCTGCAGGCTGCCTAATCATGACCTTTGTGTAGCCGGTATATTGGGAGGATGAAGAAGCAAGTATGGGAGATGGAGCCCCCATGAACGCATCCCAGCCCCTGCAGAAGACATGCTCCATGCTCAGTGGAGATGTTTGCCTGCTCGTGTGTCTCTTGACCCCAGCTGAATTTGCTCAGATTTGCATCTCCTTCTTTACTGTGACACTTTTGCATTTATTAAGAGTGCTACCAGATCCCTGCACAAGGACTTGCCACCCAGCTAAATAATGGTTCATGTCTATGCCAATATGCTTGAATTAGTACTGGTCTTTGTCTGATGTTAGGAGAGAGAGAGGTATAATTAAGGTAATTATGAGCAATTCAGTACCAGGCAGGGAGAGCAAACTGTCTTTCATATAAGAGAAAAATACAATGTGTTAGTCTGCTCAAACCATCACAATGCAGAGCAAAAGTGGAGATTTCCTGCCAGCCCGCTGTGGCCCAGAGGGCAACCAATTCCCAGGAAGAAACCCCTGGAGACAGTGCTGTGCTGATTGTGTCCCCAGGACAACTAAAACTTGTTCCTCTGCCTTTGATGTGGGTGCTTTTCTGGGTACGTCCAGCCAGGGCCAAGCCCAGGGCCAGGGCCATCTGAGATCTCACCATCTCACCACCTCCAGGCACAGGAGCTCCTGCTGGTAGAGCAGGTTGCCTTGGGCAGGAGCTGGGCTTGCTGTACCCTGCTTGTTCCCAACTCACTACGTGGATGCTGAGGCTTTGGCTACATGTCTCCCCTGCTCTTCCATCCTGCCTGCCTTCACTGGGGCCTGGTCAGTTGGGGTGTCTGTGCCCACTGCTGTGCCCTCCCTTGTGTGGTGGGCACCGGGTTCAAGGCCCTTCTCCAAACTCCTGGTGCACCATGTGCTGATCTGTTATAGCCAGAGGGAGGCCATGAGCATGAATGCCTGAGCATGTTCACTAGTGCACGACTTCTGCACCTGGCCTGGGGCAAGCGGGAGAGAGCTCCTTTCACTCCCCTCGCAGAGCAGGGCGACTCCTGGCTCTGCCACTGCTCATTGCTGAAGCTGGGCATGAAACAGGTGCTGTGCTCATCTGTCTGTGTTCATCTGTCTCACCAAATGTCTAGGCATTACTGTAGTACATGCTATTGGATGGAGATGAATTTGTTCTGTCCAGCAGCATAGATTCAGGTGACAAAGAAGCCCAAGAAAATTGTTCACTCTCTCTGCAGGTCAGGCAGAAATTAGGTTTATCAAGTTATTTACAGTTTTAAGACATCTGTAAAAATTTGACAAATGCAATCTCTTTCCTAGCTCTTATAGCTGCTACTGCTGCCTTCCAGGAAGCTGCATGCCTCGGAGCCTGTCAGGAGCCCATGGAATATCCTGCCCCAGATAATAACTGTGCCAGACACGGCCAGGGACCTTTTCTGCAGCATCACACTGCCACTGAGGAGGGCACCCACCCAAAGGTTAGGACTTAACTGAGGCACAGGGTTGGAGGACTGATCTACTGCACTGTGAACTTGGTGCTCTGAGACAGATGACTTCCAGATGACTCATGGGGCCAGGCGTTCCTTCCCTTCTGCTCCCACTGGGTCTCGGACAGCAGGGCTCTCAGTGGCTCGTGCCGATCATGACACCGGTCTTGAGCCTCTGAATGGGCACTAGCCCTTGCTCACATAATGAAGTAGCTGGGAATTGGGTCTGTTGGCCTTGAGCCTGAAAACTCCCTGCATGGCTTGCAGTGAAGGGCTCATGGCTCTTAGGGCAGGATGTGTAAATGCTTCCTGATCCACATCCAGCCTTTTCCCCTGCTACTGGCATCCCTCCTTGGCCTGAGAGCAAGCCTCGGTTCCCTTGGAGACCTGTAAAACTCACTGCGGGGAGCAAAGATCTCCCAGAAATGACTGATGTGCTGAATAGTGCCGGTACTCTTCTTCAGGGGCTCCCTGCTTGTTTGTGTTAATAGCATACCATCCCGAACCCACTGAGCCCTGCTGCGCTCCTCCCCTCTGGGCTGGGAGGGAAGAAACACAATCTGCTTCTTAATTACATTTTAACCTCCATATCAATTGGCAGACATACTCTGGGACTGAAAGGGGATGAAGCGCGGGTACTCTTTTCTACTGCCTCTACCACAAGGGGTTCTTTGTCGATGTGGCCTTGGGTCAGCTGCAGATGTATCTGGTACTTGAAAGAGTCACTCTGCTGTGGGGAGTCCCACCTTTAGCTGTGGCTTGCTTTGGTGGTGGTAGCAATTCAGCCACACTGAGTTATGCACGACTGTCTGTGTGACCTTGTCACCTGAACTGAAAGTGTGTGTGTGTGTGGACTTTCTTTGCCATAGCCTTACTGGAACACACTGTTGTGCGGAGGGACTTGCCTCAGTCGCCTGCTGCCGTGAGACTGAGTGGCTGTGGCCTAGCTTTGTCTGTTGAACTCTGTGTTACCTGAAGGTTTCTGCTGGGAGTAGTGTGCTATTAATGTGGTTGTTTTTTCTTTTTTACTTTTAATTGAATGTGTCTGTATAAAATGCAGTTGCTTTTTTCCTCAGTTGCATTTATTTTCTTTCAATATTTTATTATATTATATTATATTATATTTTATTTTATTTTATTTTTTATTTTTTTTAACCTTAAAAGACCTTGCCAAACTCTAACTCCCGATTCGCTCTAGATGTCTGCCACAGAGGGGGAGAGCTAGCCAGGCTGCCAAGCAGATCAAGGTGTAGCCTTGATTCTTGATGGGCCTCAGGCAATTCCTGCAGCTCCCCCCTGCCTTGGTGCTTTTGTCTGTTAGCTGAAGTAGCTGCTGACCTGCAAGAATGATAAGCCTGAAGTCAGTAGCATCAGAAGAAGATCACCAGGAGGTGAAAGGTGCCCCTTTCAAAAGGGGCAGCATGTTCTTTACAGAGGAACAACTGGACCGTGCTATCCTCTGAGCTGAGGGTTGTCTTAATCCAAGCCAGGTAACTTGTCACCAAACTGCCCAGGCATGGTGTGTGTCACCCCGACTGCACTGTTTATGAAGGCTGTCATATTCACCCTAGCACAGAGTACAGGAGATCTGAAATGTCAGTGATGGAAGCTGTTTTGTCCCTGGTTTATTGTATGCATTTGGAAGTGGGTGACATACTTGTGCTGTGGATTTGAGACCTCCATGCGCATGAGATCATGGATCAGATGACCTCATGTGATGATGTTTGGATGAGATGTGGAAAATTTTGTGGAAGATGTTGGCTGAACACATGAGCTAAGGAAGTCACCCATATGTGAAAAGGCAGATGCTTCCCTGAGACACAGAAAGAAGGGAATTATAGGCAAAGCATGTGAGATACCTCTTTGGGTATCAGTAAAACCTCATGTCAAGGCAGGGATGGGTAGAACAAGCAGAGGCCTAGAAAATGTGATTTATGAGGGAAGATTGATTGAACCATGCTTCTTCTGCTTCTATATGCTCTAGAGGTCCCTGCTTGAGCAGGGAGGTTGGACTAGATGATCTCCAGAGGTCCCTTCCAACCTAAACGATTCTGTGGTTCTGTGATTCTCTCCATCTCTCGTCCCTTGAAGCCAAGGACTTCATATAGGGCAGTCACTGCTGCAAAGTCAATGCAATACCTTTTCTCCATCTTCAGTCAGTGAGAGGGAGTCCATAGTTTCAATTTATTGAGGGAAAGATTAGACAGTAAGAAAAATTTTTATGAAGAAGCTGGAGGAGCTCCGTGTGAGAAGGTTTTAGGAATAGCCGTCTGTGGCCTGGGCATGGACTGTGGGACCTCTCTGCAGCCTTTTTTCTGTGACTCTACATACAGCTCTGCACTATGCTAGCTAATGAGGAAGCCAGACAAGCTCAGTTATAGTTAATTTGTTTTCTACTGAACAGGTTTTGACTCTTGTTGCTATTGCCATTTGACAATCTGACAAGGTGTCCTTACATTGGTGCGAGGTGTTGGGCTCCTTGTGTTCTCCCATGTTTTTCTCCAGGACACCATGCCCAGGGGCTGCACTGTGTTCCAGACCTTCACTAACACTTTTCCACAGCTTTGGGAGGGTGTCTGGTTTGAATTGTATCAGGAGTCCCAAAATAGAGGCGCTTCTTTGCGTTCTGTTCACTTCACCTGTTCTGCCTGATCTTGCTCTCCATCATCTTCAGAAATAAAAATAAAAATAAAAATAAATGAAAACCAGTCAGACCAAACAGCCAAGTGTAAAATGACTCATTGACTGTACAAAATGTTCTCCACCATTAGGAACATCCTCTTCAGATCCTGAAAAGCTTGTTGCTCTCCTGATTTAATCTCCTTTCTGACCAATTTCTGTTCCTTTTTGTCTCTAATGGCTATTAATATGTTCTTCCATTTATTTCTCCATCTGAAGGTGCTGCTGATCTTGTTGCTGCAGTTCAAGAAGCAGTATGCATTGAGTTATTGCTGCAAGACCAGCAGTAGGAAATCACCAGCACCCACCTGATTTCTGCATATATTGATATGGCTACCTTTCTGTGTGTCCTTTTCTGCTGGGAATAGAACTGGGATTCTGAACAAAGTGAAGTAGTACGCTTCTTTGGGAGGGCAAATCCTATCAGACTACTTGTGTGCCAGAGATGTAACTCTCCCTGTGCTAAAGTGGGAATGATGCAGGACAATCAAACAAAATGATAGGCCATGGTCCAAAACCTGCTGAAAGCCAGTGATCTCTCTCCTAGCTGAGGCACCAGGGTCAGAGCAGGAGGCTCAGCTCCAAGAGCTGAGATCCAGTGAAGTCTGGGACCTGCTGACAGGGGTAGCTGGACATGGAGGGTAGCCTGCACACCTCTGTGAGTTACCTACCTGTGCAAAGGTACAGGTAGTGTTACAGAGAAGGTGGGCTAACCCATGCTGGTTCCTTGCAGGCACAGCTGTGGGGAAGAGCAAGCAGGTGAATTGGGTTTGCTCCTTCCTCCAAAGGGAAGGGAAGGTGTGAAGGAAGAAGCTGTTAAAATACCTACCTTGTCCTGCAGTCCGAGGAGAACCAACAGCAGTAACGAGTGTGGGGGAGCTGTCAAATCTGCTGAAGCGACTTGCAAGCAGGGACGTGAACTGCAGAAAGTCCTTGGGTAGAAAGTAGCCCTAAATACCTGCAGTAGGGAAGCTGCCAGCTACAAATGCAACATATTTTGTTCAGGAGCAGGGTGGAAACTGGGAAAGGTGCCTGGGACCTTCTCTCTGCAGCTCTGCTGGAAAAGCTAATGTAGGTACTGCAGATAGCAGAAGCTGCCCTTGGCTGAGGTTCCCTAACTGGAGGTGGTGGTGGCTGCGCTGAACAGATTTTGCAGAGCTGAGAAACTATTTCTCAGCAAATTAAGACTGCTAATCTTCTGTGCTTCTGTCCACTAGCTGTGCCACAGAGGCAGCTGAGAGACTTGAGAAGGGATTTTATTCTAGGGGCAAAACCTCTCTGCAAGCAAGAGTAAAGTCCCTGAGACCTTCCATAGCTCCTGCACGTGTTCCATTCCTTAAAAACACTGGCCAGAAAACAAGTAGAAAATAACTTCATAGTGGGTAAAACAAGAGCAATATGCACAGGAATGAGCACAAACATGCACAGACATTGTGCAGTCATGCAAGCACTTTTCAGACACCTGGCCACAGACTAGTACAGGCAGGAAGGTGACATCTCTGCCAGTACCCTCACAAGCACACAACACAAATAGCCTGATTCTGATTCTACAGCTTGGTGATCGGGGAAGGATCGAGCTTTTATAGCTCTCCCCTCTCCTACTTGCTGGCTAGTCCGATTTGAGACTTGCTAGTGATTCACATATGCACACAACACAGGTCTCTGTAGTAGCCAGCACCCAGCTCCCTGGGCCCTGCAGCCCCATGGTTTCTCCACAGTAGTGGGCACCCAGACATCTTGACCTACTTGCTGGCCAGCCCCACGTGAAGCTCACTAGCAATTTTGCATGCACAGACTTGGAATAGGCCCCTTGCTCGTGCAGAGAACAGTTTGCATGGTGTTCTGGAGAGAGGAAAGTATTTTGGGCCATGGCAGGGTCTGGCAGGGATTAAATCCTTGTAAAGTTTACCCTGACTCACTCTGAGGCTTCACCTCTGGCTCTGGGTGGAGGTTGTGTCCTTGCCGCTGCTGGGATGGGAAGGGAGGGCAGTAAGCCAGCCTTGCCCAGCCAGCTGTAATCCCCTATGCATCTGATCCCATCTTGGCTGTCTTCAGTAAAAAGGTTTAGAGAAAGTGGCACTAGGTAATATCTGCTGTGGGGGTTACCTTTCCCCAGGTTAAAACCAGCAGTTTAGGAGAGGTTCTCTGCCACTCCTGCCATCTCTGGTCTTGCAGCTCTCTTTACCCCCTGTTCCTGGTACGGTGGAGGTAAAACCCTTGGGCTGATGTCCTTGCTGGTGCTGCCAGCCTGGGCAATGCTGTCCTGTGAGGCAGCACCCTGCTTGCCCACCCTGTCCACGCTCCCTACCTGGGCTCTTGTTTTCACAAATAGCCTGTGTAGCAAGAAACTCAGGGTGAGGCAAGCAATGAAGAAAACATTAATTTCTTCTTTCTAGGTCAGCATCTGATTTGGCTGTAATTGCTGAGCCAATAAATAAGTGCCCCCCTAAGCAGTCTGGTAATTACAGGGCTCGCCTTGCTGCAGTTGCTCTGAGAACAGGCACTGAATTCATTGGTGCTGCGTAAAGTAGGCAGAAGGCGGGTGCTGGTGTAGCAGCGGCACCCATCCTGCTGACGGGGAGTTGACACGTTGCCCCTCTTTGGCTCTGCTGGGCCAAGGCTCCCATTCAAGTGTCCTTCCCCTGCCACCCAGTGCACCCTGATAGGCCCATGACAGGGAGCTTGAGCCCAGGCTCGCTGCGTGCTGTGGTCTGAGAAGAGCTGGGGTGCGCTTGGGGATTTGGTCCTGGAGCTGGAAGCCCAGGTCTAAGTTCCTTGAGTCAAAGGTTGTAAGCTCAGATCTAGTCAAGGGCAGCAATGGGTGCTGGGTGGTTGGTGCCATGGACACCAAGAGGCACTGTCTGACCACAGCATTTAGAGCTCAGCACTGTATTCAACTCCTGCTGGGACTCCCTGTGCTTGGAGCTGTGTTAGGTGTCTTGAATCTGCTCCTCCAGAAGATGTACCAACCATGAGAGCATCCTTCAGGACATTCCCCCAGAGCCCTGAGAGAAAAAAGGAGCTTCTACAATGTACAGCTACAGCTTTTTTTTAGATGGATAAAGCACTTCATTGAGTTTGCCTTAATAGATGCTCCAGTGATAGACCGTGCCTGGGAAGGAGTGTTGGGGAAAGATAAATGCAGATAGGATTTAGTCCAGAGGAAAAGCAGCTGTTGCTGCTCAGCACAGGGTAGAGGAGCTAAAGCAGCTGATTTTCTCCAGGGGCAATGTGTGAGGCGGAGCGAGGATAGCAAAAATAGGGGAATGAATCCCACAGGAGAATGAGCCCAGATGGACTTTTTGGAAGAGCTGTACAGTCATCTTCTCCCAGAAAACCCTTCTACCGTGGGAATGATACAGCCATTGCTCAGACTGTGTCCTCTCTCCTGAACCAGATCCCAGAACTGACATCTGTCCATGTTCAAAGGGAAATAATGTGAAAGGGCAAAACTAAAGTCATTTTCCATACCTAGGAGCATGAGAAGTGTCAAATGCAGCCACCAGTTATCACCTGGCTTTCCTGTCCCATTGCCTATGCCTGGAGTTCACAAACAGGGCTAATAAGCACTGATAGATGCACTCCAGTTTGATAAGTTCTTGGCTGGTGGCTTTTGGTCAGTAGATTCACCTCTGCCAAAGGGAAGAGTTCCGGTGAGAAAGCTCTAGCAGTAACATTGCTAAAGGTCATAGCTATAAACCTGATTCCAGCAGAGAAAAATCAAACCTAATTCCTTAATGATGGAGGTAAGGCAGAGAGGGTGGTTCCTGATGAGACAGAGCAGCGGAAAGCTTCATGATTAGCTGCAGAAATGAGCAGAAGGGACTTCACTAACACTAATGAAGGATGGGATGCAGAGGGACTGCTCTTGGGTTCTCTCCTGGAAAACTCATACATGTTCACGACTGCAGGGTCTGAACTAGAGATGACAGTCCCTGGTGATCAGCCAAATGAGAAGTTGCCCGCTGTGGGTGAGTTAGGCTGCTATCCAGTGCAAGAAACACAAGGTGGGATTGCATAAAAAGCCTATCAGGAGCCCCGAAGAGCCCCCATCATCTGCCAAGGGCCTTTACAATTGCTCACACCAAAAGGAGACAGCTGCCCAAAATGGAAAGGGCAGATTCTGTTTTATTAGCCAGAGCGCAGAGGAAGTGAAAAAACGAGTCTTCTGCAGTGTGTGGTTCCCCTTCACGTGAGCCCAAGGTTTCCTCTGCCCAGTTTGCTCCTGAGCTGAATTTGTTGTTCACGGACCAGGGCTGGTGTGACTGCTGAGGTAGATGTAACCCCCTGAGTGGCTACTGATTTTCTCCTGTGTTATGAGTACTGTCCAAGTATTTCTGGGCCAGAGGGAGCTGTTTGTTATTAAGCAAAGCCTGGCGGAGGTGACTGGAGATTTCTTCCCTAGTAGGAACCAAACGAAAATGTAGTTTGTTTATGGTACTGGCCATTAGGTGAATTTATTACAGCAGCCATGAGCAAATCCTGAGGGTCCCATATCTAGACAGCTTGAAACAGTTTGGAAATTTGTTCTCCAGATTATTAATCCACTAGCAACTCTAATGAAAGAAGGGGAGTAAGTCACTGTGCATCTCCTGGTTGCACTCTTTGTCTTACTAGAGAGGCCTTAAAAGGCTCCCCTGATGTGGAGAAGGGGGGAAGAGTGGAAGAAGAAGATGTTGGTCACAGAGGACAGAGGAAGGTAAGAACTTGAATTGGGGGTAGGAGATCTAGGATATATGTCTGGGAAACCTCCTGAGAGTCAGGATGGGGATGGGCCAGAGCAGTCTAAGGGGAACTCTTCTGCTGGAAGTGCTCTGCACTGTCCCAGCCTACTCTTGCCAGGCAAGCCACTGGCCTGTGTACCCTGGTCTGCCAGCCAGCAACTGCAGCCCTGTGGTGTGGCTCCCCTTGGTGCTTGCTGCCCAGTTCTGGCTGGACTGTAGGCTCTTTGGGACAAGGACTGTCTCTCTTCTGGGTTCCTACAGCACTGTGCCTGAGTGGGGCGAGAAACCATACCTGGGACTTCCAAGCTGTCCTGTGATGAAGCTGGTAGCAATGCTGGACAAGGGACAGAGCTGAGCCAATGGGTCTGGACAGGTGTGCAGAGAATTTAGCATGACTAGCCCTGTCATGTTTTGCTCCATACAGGCCCCAGTCCTAAGGCGAGGGCTGGGAGGAAGGTATATATTACCCCAGTGGCTGCCCAGCTCCATGACATTGAGCCCTTGAATTAGCAGTAGAATGTGTTGGACTAGTTTTGAGCATAGCAGGGAAGGAGTGGTGAGTTACTCTCAGTTACATCTGCCTGTGTGCAAGACCCTGGTACTGGAGTGTGTTGTGCTTCAGCATGCCCCGGAGAACATCTGCTTCACTGCAGAGAGAGCGAGCTTTCTGCATCCTCTGCCATGCAGGCTGGGGGAACCACAACCAAACTACCCTTCCCCCCCTTACCCCACCCACTAGCTCCTTGCCTGCCTGTGGTACCTCCAGAGAGTGATGGTCAGGTAAAGCTCCTTCGCCTGTGTTGGCAGTAGGTTCCTAATTGTGGAGCGTCAAGGTCATTTATCTTGGGAGAAAATCAGCAGCTGTGCATTGGAGTGACTGATCTGGCATGGACAGGCATGCAAGTGGGGTGATGGAAGGCCTGTGCATCTCTAGGCACTGGCAGACAGCCCTCTTTGTGCATATGGTTCCCCAGGGTGAGGGTGCTACCATGTTGTTGCAGACAGGAGCCCTGGGCGATATTGTCCTCTCACACACAGTGGAGCGGCCCCATCCAATGATCCTTCCTCTGAACCTCCCCCTGCCTGAGCCTGGCCTGAGACTTGGTGAAGGGACCTAGTGATCATATCAATCATTGAATGTGGCCGCTGAAAGGGAGCGGTGACACCAGTCAGCATTTGCCTCTGAAGACTTGACTTCTTGCTGATTTTCATGGTGCTCTGCTGATTACACCAGCTAGGAAAAAGGCCCCATTGAAGTATGGTGCAGCCCATCCACCACCCCAGATGACCACTGTAGGCACCACTATTGCCTGGGTTAGGGAAGCGTGTTTATTTGCTCTGGGTTAGAAAGATACCTCTTTGGTATGTACAGCACCATCCCATGCATGCAGATAGCCCACAGACTACCCCACACCCCAGGGGAGGAACCTGCTGTTGGGACAGCGGTGCAGCCTGTGCCAAAGCCGTCACTGTAAGCATCTGCAGGTTGTGCCAGCCACTTTCAGCACCACCTTCACCTGTCAGGCCTGCGCTGCCTGCCTCCTTTGCCACTCCTGCTGTGGGGGCCAGGCTGGTGAGTTGAGGCAGTGGGAGGCACTGTGTGACAGCAAACCAATGTGTCCAGAGTGGTGGGTCCAACAGGGGACACTGAGCAAAGGAGTTGGCGGGATGGCAGCCAAGAGAGGAGCTAAGTCAGTGGGGTCCCAAGGAGCTTTAGTCCTTGAAGTCCAGGTAGGCTGAGGAGCAGAAGCAAGTCTGGGTCCATCCCTGCCCTTGCATGCAGCATACTGTGGGGAGATGGCTTAGGAGAATGATTGGTCTGTGAAATAAGAAGAAATAGCAAGGCCAAGAGCAGGATATGCCAGGCCTTCTGGCTTGTCTTTCCCAGCATCCTCTTGTGTGAAAGGGTAGCCTGAGGCTGGTGACACAGCCCAGCTAGCAGGTAGCGTGGAGCTTGGCTATTAAGAAATGTGAAGGGGCTTGGAGGAACTGGAGGGGAGTGCCAGGGAGGCTGGGTTCAGCTCGCACCTGTTGTTCTCTTCGTGCATCTGGGACACTTCAGTGGAACCTGCCTCAAAACACGGCACAATGTTGGCAGCATGCACCACATGGACCTTGTTGCGGGGTTTCTTCCTCAGGAGGCAGCTGAAGACTTTTTTGAAGCCCTTGCGGAAGTGCTTGGAGACCAGGGCATAGACAATGGGGTTTAAGCAGGAGTTGGCATAGGCCATGCAGTGGGAAAGCAGGCGGAAGGCATAGGTGGCCTGGTTGAAGGGGAAGTCTCCATAGAGGTAGCGAAGGATGACCACGTGGTAGGGCAGCCAGCACAGGCAGAAAAGGATGGTTACTATGATAATCATCTTGGTTACCTTCCGCTTGGCCTTCTTAGACTCTGACATGTCCTCCAGAGGGTCCACTGCTGTCCACAGGTACTTGATGGTCCTGGTGTAGGAGAGGCTGATGACCATTACTGGGATGACATAGCCGAAGACAAATGTGCTGGTGTCCATGACCTTGCGTCTCCATTCCTCCCAGCCAGGCATGCAGATGTAGCTGGACTCCCACTCAATCAGGTCATAATAGCTTAGGTAGGGCCCAGCAAAGACTACGGAGAGGCCCCAGATCACAGCCATGGCTGCCACTGCATTGTAGGGGGTCCGCAGCTCCCGGGAGCGCAGCGGATAGCGGATAGCCAGGTACCTGGAGGGGAGATCAATGCAACCAGCACTGAAATTGCGGCCAGGCTCTGTGTGGCCACACAAACACTAGGGACTCCTGCTTTTCTGTGGCCCGAGGGTTTCCTTCATTTTCATGAAGGTCCCTGAGCAATGGCCCTGCATGTTATCTCACACCCTCTTTGAGGGTGTGAGGCCCTCTTTGAGATACAGTCCTGGGTAAACCAGTTTTTCTCTTTCTAGTGAGGATGCTTCTCCTCTCCCCAGCCCCAGACTGGCTGACTCCTCCATATATGACAGGGTGGGTTATGACCCTAAGCTAGAGCCAGAGAGATGAGGCTGTGTAGACCATGCAGATCACTGTCACTTGGGCTACAGCCCAACTTATCCAGTAGAAGAAGGTCTGAACAGAGGTTTCAAGGCCTGGGGAAGTCTCATGGGGTGATGGGCATAGTGAAGACTCCTGTACTCTGAGGGCACGTCACCAGCCTTCCCCAGGTTTCAGATCAGGCTGGCATGGAGGGGATTAGCTCATGGGAGCTGGGACGGTGGCAGCCCCAACCTGGGCACCGGAGGGGCCAGGCGGGTCCTTGCCTTTTGACAAAGTTTCTCAGACCAGCCCACAGCAGCCTGTCTGCTCTCCCCCAGCAACAGCGGTCAGAAATGGCGTTTTGGCCAGCCCTGCTCCCACACCTCCAGGCAACGCTGTGGGACAAAGCTGGTAGAACTGCTCTCGTGTTCCACTCTGTCACACACATCAGGCAGGAGAAGGGACAAGCAGCAGATGTGAATTCCTGTATTTGCCTTGACGTTCCTGCAGGAGCTGTGGAGTGCATGACAGCAAGGATAGAAGAAGGTTTGGTGCTTGTGGGTAGGGGATGGAGAGGAGCTGTCAGCCCAGACAGGAGTCTGTCTCTGCTGCAGTCGCAGCCTGCCAGCATCCACAGAATTATGCTGATTTTATGCACTGTAAGGCACACAGAGCAGGTGGATAAGACAGGCAGCTGGTGTAAAGGGTCATGCGTGTGACAAAATTGTGTTGTTTGCTCCTAAAAGCTCCCAGCGGCTCTGTGAGAATCATTTCATGTTGCACTAAAATGCAGCCACCTCTTGGGTGGAGCACTGCAGTACAGCGCACATGTGCCACCAGAAAGGAAAAGAACATAGGCACTAATGCCATGCCAAGATTTCCTTTGGGGAGTGCTTTTGAGACGCTGTGCTCATGCCAGCTGGGTGCAGGGAAGCAAGAGGCTTACACCTCAGAGTCTTCAGTAGCAGTCTGAGCCAGCCGCTCGGTCAAGAGTCTGCCAGGGCTTGTCTCTAGATTGACTGAGGAGAGACCAGCATGGTGAAGGAACAGACAAGGTGGCAGGGGCAGGGAGGCCAGCTTTCAGGGAGCATGGGAAATCTCAGGTCGTCCTTGTGATGACAGCCAGGTTGTGTTCCCACCAGCAGGTGAGTAGATTGGGAGATTTTGGGGGCTTCACCCCTCCCCCCCAGGGTGCTAGCATCTCAGAGTGGGTGAACTGCTGGGGTATCAGATTGTTGTTTGACAACAGGTGCCTGTTTTTGCAGGTGGCACCTGGGAGCAGGATGAAATGGAAGGGTGCTGGGAGAAGAGCACCATGCTTCCTGCAGGGTGGAGGTTTAACCCAGCCCAAACTTTTCCCCTTACCGGGACTGGGAAGTACTGATACTAAAGCTTCTTTCTGCTGGTAGGGGCTGGCAGCACCGTGAACTACCTCATCCCAGAGGGCTGTTTGGCCCTGCCTTGTCTTGGTACCCTTGGAAGCAACTGCAACAAGCAGGATAGGCCAGGAGATGTTCCCATGTATGGTAGGTAAGGCTGGGCATTTACCCCAGCGCAGAGCTCTTCCTTGTCCTGCACCGTTACTACAGGAGCAGAGCGGTTGACACATTAGTATTATACTAATGTAGAACAAGGCAGTGTCCTTGGGAATGATTGTCCTTGGGAATGAAGGCACTGGTCATGCCTTGGGACCAGGGTGGACAACATGATCCCCCAAGGGCCTGTCCCTGCAAATCTGGTGGCCAAATTTTTGGCTACTAGGCTGCCTGAACCCAACTTTTGAGCCAGCATGTGGTATAAGTGAAGGCACATGCTAGTCAAGTCTGAACCTGAAGCAGGATTGCAGTAAAGACAGGGTGCAAATTCTGGTAGTAAAGTGTGGTTGGCCTAAACCTTTCAGAAATGTATTTCTCTGCTGCATGTTCCTGTGACTGGAATCAGGGTCACTGCTTAAATTGTGGCAGGGCTAGGCTTGGCCCCCATGACCACACTAAGGTGAAAGCTGCTCAGGGAAATACCAGGAGCTGCAGGCTGAGCATGGACATTGTTCTGCATAGGGTGCTGTAGGGCTGAGGAGAGCTGGGGCCTGAAGAGGGGTTGTCAGAGGATAGGTTGTGTCCTGGGCCAGCAGCCCCAGAGAAATGAGAACTTTGTTTGCTGCAGGCATGAGTTTCTTTTGGATATTCATGTGGCTTTTCTTACAGTACTATGTTTGCCATGCTGCCATCACATGATGCTTCTCCACAACAGTGGCTTGAGGATAACTATTATCCTCTCTGTGCTATCTCTAACACAGAGCTAGGTGGCTCTCCCATTGGGACTCTGTGGCATAGTGGGGACCTGAAGTCAGGTCTGAGGCACCTTTACCACCAGTCGGGTCTTCCCTGGGGAAAGTACAGGCAGGATCAGCATGTGCTTTGCGCTCAGGAGAGCTGGAAGTGCTGCTCGGTGGCGTTGTTAGGGAAAGGGAAACACGACTGGTCCCTAGACTGCCTTTGGCTTGGACCACACCGTTGGGGTTTGAACCATCTGCCTAATGGTGATGGGCCACCATCTTCCCACGCTCTCCTTCCAACCAGGTCCTCAGACTAAATGCCTTCCCTCCATCCCCAGCCTCAGGGTGTCTTTAGACTGTTACCTGTCCACCGAGACGGCAGCCAGTGTGAAGCTGCTGGCATACATGGTGAGGTAGATGAAGAAGTGGACAGCCTTGCAGATGAAGGAGCCAAAGACCCAGCCCTCGAGGGAGTAGATGGTGGCCTGGAAGGGCACGCAGAAGACAATGAAGAAGAAGTCAGCCAGACTGAGGTTGAGGATGAAGAGGTTGGTAGTGTTGTGGCCCATTTGCCCATTGCGCAGCAGCACTGCTAGCACCAGGCTATTGCCCACTGTGCCCAAGAGGAAGATGAGGGAGAAGACCACAGGGACGATGACGCTGGCAGGGCTGAACTGGTAACTGTTGGAGGAGTTCCAGTATCCAGCCAAGCTGGCGAAGTCCTCGTGCTCTGTCATTCTGCGCTGTGTGGCCGTGGTGAGATGGAGCCTGGGGCAATACAGGCAAAGATGTGAGAGACTGTAGAAACACTGCTCAGCCTATTAGACTGGCTGATATGCTCATCAGCTGACTGTAGACAGCCAGAGCCCTGCTTTCAGCTCTGTAACCCATGCACTTTTCAGCAAGTTCCTGCTAATGCTGCTGGCCTGTAGGAGACATAGGGTAGAGTTAGCTTGGGGGTTAGGGATCCCCTGCTCCCCTCTTCTGGCTGTGGAACGATTCTGCAGCCCAGGTCTGGGTGCCTTCTTGGACCGACCGTGCTGCAAGTTGAAGTTTGGGGGAGAGGAGAGGCTGGTGTCTATCCTTGTGGCGGGAGCAGAGCTTGCCTCTGTGGAGAAGGAGCCAGGGTCTCCCAGCTGGTCCAGCTGGTGGTGGGGACAGGGAGGGTGAGGTTCCTTCTCAGCAGTGGGCTCTAGCCCTAAACCAACCAGCTGGACAAGTTGAGACATTGGCTTCCCTCATACAGATACACAGGGTTGTAACCCTCACCTGCTCCCAGCCCTCTCATTACCTGCTCCTAGAATAAACACAGCACACTAGATGCAGGGCTGGAAATGCCTCTGGCAGTAGCAGCCACTATACAACTCCATGTTGTGCCTAGTCTGGGACTTCCCAAGGAGGGCAGCCCCAACAGGACAGTTCCTGCTTTGGTTTCAGAGTAATCCAGATGACAAGGGAGACACATATTCCCTCTCTGTCTCATGGGGCAGCCTGCCCCAGGGCTCAGGCTTTTCGTATCATTCCCCTTCCCCCAGAATAAGCACTTGAACTGAAAGTAGAAGGTGCCTCTGTGTGTGGAAATAGTAGCTCTCAGATGAGGGGTGAGGGAGGAAGAGAGAGATCTGACTAAGGGTGTGTGGAGGAGGGAAGGGGATGCTAGGCAAGCTTGAAGGACAGGCAGCAAAGCAGTTAGCAAGACGTCCACCTAATCCAAGGGACTGGCTCACTTGGAGACCTCTGTTCAGGCAGTTCATGCCTCAGGTCCTAGGTGCAGACTCCAGCTGCTCATTGGAAAGCTACATTCACAGGGCAGAGAAACTCCTTTTGCCCCAGAACCAACAAGAAGGGTGAATGCCAAACACACAGCATTTCTCTGCATAGACAGACCAGCGTAGCGGACAAGACTTTTGCCTGTAGACGGGAGACCTTTGGCACCGTGGCTAGGTTTGCATGATGAGCCCTGAGAGCTCATGGGAGAAGCCACTTTGAGTTGTACATAAGCTCATGCTATGCATGTATTTATGGATGTAACATAGTTTCTCTGCCACAGGCACAGAAATCTGTCTGCATGTTTTTTTCACTTCTGGAGCTGGGGGGAAATCACAGATATCTAAAGGAGCAGCTTCCCTTTGCTAAACACATGACTTGGGTTCATTCCTCTCCGCAGTGTTTGTATGGACGTGCTGTGCTTATCAAAGCGCGTTCCATGGCTGGCCCACCAGGCGTATGGAGATGGAAAAAAAACCTCTACAAGAAACAAGCTCTAGCTTGTGTCTTCTCCTTCAGGCTGGGAATTAGCAAGTGCTCCCTAGGGAGCACTGGCAGCATGAGTGCCTGAATCAGAAGCAGTGCCAAGGGGCATGTTCGCATGGGTCCCTGGCTGCAGGCATTCTTGGTATCCATGCAGATATGGGGATGTGTGCAGAGCTGCCTGCAACCACAGCAAGCCCTGTTCAACACTACCACAGCTCATGCTGCTCTAAGACTGTGCCTGTACCTCTGCAAGCATCTGCAGAGGCATCCACATAAAGTCTTTTGGTTGATCTGTCATGCACTATCCAGTGGTTGGTTCCAGTCAAATACCCTGCTTGGTACAGCAGTCTCTCCCCTGTCCAGGCAGTGGAGAGCTTGTGCTGTTATCTGGGAGCTGGACTCAGCTCTCTGGGACCTAGAAGGCACCTGCACTTCATTCACTGACATTTAGATTGCTCCCGTAGGCACTTAAAGCAAAGGGTATTTCGCAGAGAGAGCCTCAAAGTCACTCTGAATGTGGATTTGCCTTGTGGCAGGTGCAGTGCAGAACCTTTACGTCCAGCTCAGACTCTACTGCTTTAGGGAAACCTCGAACTCCATGAATATGAAATGGCTCACGTGCTGGGTGGCAAAGCGATGAGGAGACTCCCTTGGAAAGCTGGGAGGGCCAGCACTGAAGTGGAGGCCATTTATTTTTGCTAGGTGTGATCTCAGCTCTGTCTTAGTGCATGAACAAAGCCAATTAAAATAGCAGCGTCAACGCTCAGTATAACTGAAAGCCTTTCCATGGCCACTGCAAGACCAGAGCAGCCCCATGCAGCGTGAAAGCATACAAGAAGTAGAGGAGCTCACAGTGGCCCTGGGCGAGAGTGGGAGAAACAGATTAATGGAGGCCTGTTGGAAACTGGACCCAGAGTCTGGTCCAGAGCCTGGGGCTCTTCTCATGCAGCCTGACTCCCCTGGGACCAGGGAGCTTCCCTGTACGCAGGAGAGAGCAGTTGAGGTTGCTCCTGGTGTTTTATTCTTAGGTCTATTTGCTTGCATTGGTTTAGGCCGTGCTCGGGATTATACCCTGTGCACAGCTGTGGCACGGAGATCCTTCCACAGGTCTGAGAAAGGTACTAGCAAAGCTGGAGCACAGCTGACAGCTCAGCCAGAAACCAACTTTGTCTTACCGTCCACCCAGACAGTACCTGCGTCATCTGGCAGCACAACTGGCTGTCCCCACCCTTCATCCCCTTCCTTTTCATTACCAAACACCCTTCCTTCCCTACCTCCCTTGCAAGGCAGCCCAGCCACAAGCCAGCCTTCCTCAAGGGCTGATCTAAAGAGAACAAAAAGGCAGGGAATACCTCTATATCCTTCCTGCAAATCAACACGCACCCCAAGGAGGCAACCCTGCAAGCCTCCCTTCCCTGCTGCAACCAGCAGTAAAATCACTTCCAAGTACTGGCACATCGCATGTCCTGGTTACGCTCCAGAGTTAACATCCCTTGATGTGCATGTGAGCACCTCATGCTTTACTTTGGAAAAACTGTTTCTGGCTATCAGGGAGCCGACAGTATCATCATTTGACCCTCCCCTCCAAGCTCATTTCTTAAGTGGGTAAGACAGGGAACTCAGTGAGTTTGGCGAGTGCTTTCCATGCACAACCAGTACCCAGGAGCACAATGCCAGGAAGGACACAGTGGCAGGCTGGTTAAGTGCCTGGCCATGTAGCCATGCCACTGCTGTACCTCTGTGTGCTCTTCTGGGAGGTTCTCCCTGGTGGCCCATGGCTTAGGAAGGCTGAGTAGTCCTTCAGTCCCCTTTAAAGACAGGAACTGAGAAAGAGGGCATGAAGGGCTGGGTTTGTAATTGGTCAGATCAAGTGGCTCACTGATGCAGCAGAGAAAGAAATCTTTTTCTCTGCTGGGTTAGTTCTGGGCCAGATCCACAGCTTCCTGCAGTCCCACAGTGCTGCCTGCAGAGACAGGGCAGGGATGGTAACAGGCATGGAGTGAAAGCAGGGCTGCCCCTTCTGGTCTCTTAAGTGACGTATGCCAATCGTGACACCTATACTGGGGTGCTGAGGTGCTAAGTGACTTGCAAGGAGTCGCCAGAGCGCAATGTCTACCAGTTGTGGTTTAGCATCTGCTCAGGAAGCTGCCTCCTACCATCCACCACTCTGCTGTCCCTTGGAAGCATTTTACAAGCATTTCACGCCCTGCCATTTTGAGAACAGGTTTATGAAGATGCTCCTAAGTCTCACTTGGTCCTGAACAGCCCTGACTAGCACTGAAAGGGAGTGGACAGAAGCTATGAACAGAGAAAAGGGAAACTGTGGGCAACAGGATTCCTCTCCTGCATCTGCTACGCAGGGTCAGCAGGGGCAAAGGAGGTGGGATGGGGAGGTAACGTTCCCAGGGCTGAGAACCAGATGCGTGGCAAAGCTGGAACAGGAACTCAAGAGACCCAACCTTTCTACCAGTGGTTCAGTAAAGAAAAAGCAAGGGGCACAGTCCCCAGCGCCCACCCAGTGGGAGTAAGGGAGTAAGGAAGCGACCAGCATGGACCCTCGGTGGGGGCAGGCAGTGGGTCATGCCAGGTGGCACTGTCCAGCTCTCTGCAGTGCCACGAACGCCTGGGAATCAGCACAACCAGCTCCTGTGCCAAGGGAAAGAAGGGCAGGAGAAGGCAGGGAAGGGGACAGAAACAGCAGTGATGGGGAGGTAGGAGCCCAAATCCTGCCGGGCTGGACAGCAGATGGAGGGAGAGAAGCAACACGGAGCAGGTGGTGCGAGTTCCCTCTTTCAGAGGGCTTGGGAGGCAGGACTCCCAGGCTCGCTCTGCGGTCGCCTTTGCCGTGCCCAGCACTGACTGCCTCAGTTTCCCCATTTGTACAGCAGAGCTACTAACACGAGGCCACGTTTGCTCTGCTGTCGGGCAAGGCAGAGTCCCCTTTGCCTGGCAAATGCTGGTGCTCAGCCTCGGAGACAGCACCCTGCGCCCTGCCG